AGACAGTGATTCAGTGAAAGGTAGGGTTGAGACATGATGAGAACAAAAGTGGAGCAAAACAAACATGTACAATTAAAAGTCGAGGATGTGCTTAATGATACGGAGAGATTCAGTGTGGTGTTAAAATTCAAAGAAATACCTTAGACGCACCAAGTCATGTATAGACAAATGAACACTCTCTATGAACTCCATGTGGCCCTTCCGGTTTCTTGAGCTTCTCCTCCCTTGTAGACATTTTGGGGATGCCCTTACCAGTACAATAGTGGTCGACAGTGAGAGGGTGAAAGTTGGTGATGTTGTTGAGATGAGTGCTGTCTTGATGGATTTTAAAAGTGGCCAAGGTAATCATTGTGGCATTCTATCAGTCTTGGATATCATGCACACCTCATAAAAGGTTAGGAATAGGGCAGAGGTTGACCAGCCAACCGAGGCCATCCACTGTTGGAAGCTGGTACAGTGACAACTCTGGTCAGGGAAGTATTGAGTGAGTGATAGTTGACAATTGTGAATCAGAGATGTACCAGATATTTAGCCATAGTTCATAAAGCAAATATGTGTACCAAGCAGTGACTGATCCATTGATTCATTAGTCACCTGACTGAACACACATTGCATACCTGGCTTTTTACATCCTGATGCAGACACATGTTATGAACTCAATCTGCACATGTCCAGCATTCTCCTTAATGTATTTTGGTAAGAATTAAGGTGAGTAGGCCATTGTGTGTATGATAAACTCAGTCAGCCTCCCACACTGTACATTGCAAATTCATGAACACGAGACATATCTTATCAAAACTTTGCACTATGCTATTCCATAAATTCACAAAATTCAGACCCTTGTATCTGGACAGCTTCAAACTTATGATCAGACTTGTGAGTTAGAGAAAGCTACTCTAAATCATTGATATGTAGCTACAAAATTGTATATGTGCTAATCCTCAATATGCATCCCATCAAAAAACATGCCAAGCTGAATATGTTCCTTGCTATCAAACTCAATATCCTCACAATGCAGCACATCTACCCTTGCTGAAGTTATGGTATCCCTTCAGGAAGACAGTTCATACCCGTATTCCCATGCCCAACCTACACACCAGCTCCTCAAGGCCCACAGTAGCCAGGGAGTGACTGAGTCTGATGGATTTGCCAGCTGGAACAAAAGCTGCACCAAAAAAGCAGTCAACATCAGCAGTTTTTTTTTTAGTTTGGAAGCATCATCAATGTCAATGATTTCAATGTTTTATCTGACAAAATAAAAAAGCAACACAGAGGTCTGGCCATCAGGACACGTATAGATAGGTACACGTAATACAGTTGATGCACCACTTTCAATATCAAGGCTTGAACCATCATCTTTTTAAGATCTGAGTCAAGAGACTCATGTGAACAATCTAGATATAGAATTAGGCAGAATAACAGACACAGAAAATTAGTGACTCACTATTGGCTTTTCTCTGAGGCAAGCATTACTCAGGAGCCTTATCAGGACCACCCTTACACTTTGCTGGGGCCAAAGGTCCAGGGAGTCATCACATGCAAAACAAGGACAAATCACCTCTTATCAATGTTTGATGAGTGCTGGTGCCACAATATTTTTGGCTGAGCAACATCATCCTTGTCCCTAAGTTTTTCAGAAATGCAGGCTGCCACTTTGCACACTCTGATAGCATAGTCCCCATTGGATAAATTCTGCAGTCAAGGGTTTAAGTTTCAGTATCACACTAACGGAAAAGGAAAGTTGATGTTTTACCTTAATTAGTTAAAAAAAAAGAAAGGAGTTGCTGAGATTTAAGCAGCTCAAGAATGAGCTTTTATAGTGTCCAGCAGAGTGAAAGATGTGTTTAAGCAGAGAACATGAGCAAATATAATAGAATAAAAGATGAGCCAGAATATTGCAATACTAGCTAGCTCATGTAGTGCTCATGTTCTTGTAATTATGATGTCAATTAAACACCATCAGTGCTACTGATTGGCAAAGAACGTCAAAGAACATCAAAGAACACCACCAGCTGTTGATTATCTAGCAGCACTTTGCACTGTCATCACAGATTACATACCAGTGCTTATGTGGCACTTTCATCGATCAAACCCTTACAAAACAACTGTATATTTTGTGTAAACACCATGGACATAGATAGTTTGATAAATGTTGGACACCTGAAAGCAGGTATGCTATACTCATCCTTATGTATTCTCACAGGGTTACCTTGAAGCCCTAGCTCAAAGCCCAGCTCAGGCTTGAGGAAAGATCAAGCCAGGCTTTAGCCTTTGTCAAGCTTTGCACAAAGCTTGGCCTGGCCTGGCTCAAAAATGACTGGCTCAGGCCAGTTCAAAGCTCAAAGCCAGAGCCTTGACAACACTAATCATGTTCTTGGGTGGTATACTCCAAGTAGTTTTGATGTACTGTTGCAAGCCCTTCTGATTGTGTGCATCAACCACTGAGAGCCATTGAAGCATAGCAATATAATTATATATCATCAAAGTTAAATCATTGATCCTAGAGAAAACATTATGAACTTACATTTGTTGAACAAAAGATTTAGTTGTGTGTGTGGTACATCCCTGCTCTGAGGGTTTACTCTAGGCATTGATTTTCAAACACCTTCAATATATCATTATTGAGACAAGTTTCCTTAGTGTTGATGTAGTTGGTAACAGCTGCAACTGCAATGCTGGGGAGTCTCCCAATAGCTTTTATATGCTGTGCTACCCATTAACAGTTTTCTGAGTGGGTTCAGTATTTTTCATGATGGTAATACTGATGGAATTTTACCATCTTTGACACTGGTTTTGACACTGTTAAGTATTACTTGTATCTATTGCTTTTGCTTTTTTAGATTGGTTGCTGTGTTTGTTACATAATAGAAGTTGGAAATGCATTACTGAGTAAAATTTGAGTAAAAATCTTGAATGTACCAAAGCCAAAGCTCTTATAAGGGAGCTTTTCCTTTTTCTTGTTGTTGGAATACTCTTTCTACAATACCCAACATTAATACCAGAGGAGAGAAAATAACCATTTTGAAAACAAAGTAAATAAACTTAGAGATGTTGGCAGGGGTCCTGGTAAGAGTTAATTTTTTTTCCCTTAACAGCCTAAAACCCTGAAAGTTGTTTGTTCAAAACTAAGATTTGATGTTTAGTAGAGCTCAACAGCTCTGTTTGGTCTGGTGTATTTTTGACAATCCTTGAAAACTCAAGAGAATGTGTTGATTTTCACACCTGGTCATACTCATAACTGCCACAGGTCTCCAAGGTAAACATGTCGGACTTTCTAAATGGGGATTATAATGCTGCTTCACAGCCCCACATTATCACAGATTTTAATGCCACTAGAATGCCGTAATAATATTGCTAGGGCAAGCCAACGGCACTTGCTCATTGTGCTAACCATTTGAAACTCATTTTAATACCATTGGATTGCAGTTGACAACTGGTTAATAATGCTACAAGCCCCCCATTACAACATGTGAAAATGAGCACTTCATTATAATGTGCTAGAATTCAAAATTTTGTGCCTGAGATTTTTCCGACACAGCCTCTAGTTGATAGAACTTGGCAAAATAGATCTGTAACTTTGGAAAAAGGATTGGCTCTAAGGGTTGTGTACATTGGGCCTTGTACAAGAAGCAGGCTTACAAGCAGGCTGGAGATCACAAAACCAATGTAAAAAATTGTAGGACTCTCAAAAGGCATTAAAGTTCTGTTTTGAAAAGTTCTAAGATGATCTGTTTTTTCACATACAAAAGATTTGTTGTACTTTGTTATAGCTACAATGTGTACTAGCAATTCTGACCAGCTAGATCATTGTTATATCATCTGCATGACTTTACAGCTGTGTTATCTTTTTGTTGTCTTCATAGCTCCAATGTTAGTATCTGGCATTTTATTTACACTTCTTGTTTATTCATCTGCTCTTTTGTCTTGGAGTCCCCTTGTCTTGACCCTACCTGTCACACCATGTTGGATATTTATATGCTAATAGCATTATGAATTATAACTCTATTTTTTTTCTTGTATATATGTTAGTATTTCCCTGTGTTTTTCCAAGGGAACCCCCCTGTAGTCCTGTAAGGAGTGCGTGCTGGCTGTGCCTGAACCATACCCATAACACCACTACTTTGATGCAGCCCTGATCAACATGCTTATGAGCCAATTAATTACAATACCTACCAGAACTATAACCATAGCTATGGATGGACCCCTCCCACAGAAAGGTCGGGCTGGCAAAAACATCCTCCTGTTTGTAGTCAATGTCAGGCCATTCAATTGCACCTAGGATGTGGAGGGCCCTCAGAGCGCGAGACCATCTAAGGTCAGAGAGTGTGGGTGTGTAAGAGGTGTTATTGACCGCATGTGAGTGGTGACCTGAGATGCCTATGGTTGCCATCCTTGTAACCAACAGAGATCCTCACCATCATGGACATTCTTTTGTCTCACTGTGCTAACCCACTTTGACTTGTTCTATTGTTTCAACCCTTGCACTATGTATACTGCTTGGACCTCATCCATGGATAGATGCTTACTCATCTTGAACTCACTACTCTTTACATTGATTTTCTAAAGTTTTATTCACCTCTTGTTATCTTACATGTATGCACACTTTAATGTATGTTCCTTACCTGTTTTTTTCTTTGACTCAGCCTCATCTCATAGATGCTCTCAAAAATATATAAATACCCTTGATATACTATACTCAAACTCCAGTAAAATCCACCTCTACTTGAGCTCACTCACACTGAAAACTCCCACTGTCACCTGCTGCCTTCTGCCAACTGTTTGCTGTTGACCTCTGAACTCACTTTCACTTTCATCTTTCATTGAATTCAACCTGAGCCTTACAGTCCTGTGTTATGGAAGCGCAGTGTTAGGCACCGGCGTCGGAATACAAACTCTGCTCAATTAAATAAACTCTAAAGCTTCGTCTCAGTGGCTGAAGCTCTCGGACGCTTGTACATCATTTCCGCGTAGAATATCAATGAAATAACAATAACATAGAACTACTCAGCCTCATTGGTATCTATATCAGGCTTATCCTCATCCTCGTACTCTGCAAAATTAGCTATGTCCATCCCTGGAGTTTCAACCATAAAAAAGCGAAGCTCCTCTTCTCCTGAGAGCAATGTCGGCTTGTGTGGTATCATCGCAACCACGTCAACAATCTGCTTCAAGCAGATCACGTATGTTGCATCATTACCAAGCGACTTGCAAGTGCACATAGTTCCAGCAGAAAGCCCGAGAAGACTGTGGTCTAGTTCTGAATAAAGCCATATAACAGCAACAGCTTCCCAACGCAACCCAGAAAGCTCATTTGCATCGTCTACGGCAATGTGTGCAAAATACTGAACCTCCCCAAGAAGGGTCTGGCCTCCCTCAACAAACTATATGGTGTAATTAGTATTATAATGACGCTCTAAACAAAATAATAACCTTGACATTGCGTGAAATGCAAATGTGCTCCTGGTCATAAGTCTTCTCCATCCAAGCAGAGCGAATGATTGCTCCGTTTGGGAGTCTGGCACATCCCCACATGAAGAAAGGCTCGGGGTTTCAACCAAGGAATGTTGCCATAGCGTCACGCTCCTCACCTTAGGGCTTGTCTTCGCGTCTAGACTTTTTATGAAGCAGTACATAACTGTCACCAAAGTCCATAGAAGGTGCCTTTGAAGGGCCAGGGTCAGGAGAAGGAGAAGGAATAATTGCCTTGAGACAGTTTACCTGACAGCGACGGACAGCTTCTCGAGAAAGATTGGCATAAACCTTTGATGGCTGACAAATTTCTTGCCCCAAGTTACCGATAGTACACTCCATAGTCCACTGAGAATAGATGATCAGTGGCCCTTTTTGAATCACCTCCGAGATGAGGTGTAGGAGTTGATGAAGGCTCTGTCAGCAGAAGTTGAGACACTCCTCTCAACGCTCATAATACATTAGCTCAAACTGCAGATAGAAATCATTGATACACTTCTTGGCCATTCGAAGGTCCTCCTGGCTGATTGAGTGCTGGCATAGAATACAAAACCCTCGGACTAGTAAGCAGTAGTTCTTCCAGTATTCGAGCGGCAGGACTTCGTAGAGTAGCCCAGGACCATAGCCATAGTAATAGACAAGCCATTCCCAAGATTTGTAGCCAGAAGTCAGAAACTCGGCAAGGTTCCATGGTTTCTTGTCCATTCAACAAGGTGTCCAGCATCCAGCATGCTCAATCTCAAGCCCATGAGCCTCCCAGAGTTCTTTGTCCATGAATACAGCAAAGTTCCAGTCCTCAGGCAAGTTGTTATCTGCATGGTCAATCATCCCGTGCCAGAAAGAAATAAACAAAGCACTGATTAAGCTTGCTAAGTGCATGATATTGGGTGTCATGCAATGAGGGACAGTCAAAGTATGCGGAGGATCGAGACCTAGAAGTATACTCGGCTTATTTATACCAGTTTCCTTGTGTTGCTTCTTGTATGCAGTGTCAGAGCATGCAGAGACAATCAAGAGCAGGTTATTGGCATATTCAGTTGACGCAGGGAGCAGTATATTGGGTACAGAGACGTCTGGATGATCAGAATTCTTGGAGGCGTTGTTGGGGCACAGCAGAGCAGGGTAGTAGTGATTTTTTTGGTGCTTGCTCGCCCAAGAAGGCCACAATAGAGCCTGCAGCTGTTCTGGCCACAGTGGCCACAGTGGCCACACATACCATTGACATGAACGAGTCCAGGGCCATCTGCAGTAGCCAGGAAGTGATGGAGATATTTTGTTCAAATCTCGCGCATATAGCCATTGTATACCTTGAGACCTTTGTGCTGCAGCACTGCGAGATGATGATAGCTTGGGAAAAGGAAAGAGTCGATGTCTTTTGGTGGATTAGGGCCAGGGATAATGCAGCCAGGAAGTACGTGCTTCTTTTTGTAGTGTTTGTCCGGGGAGTAGTTGAGAATCACCCAGACAAGAATATAGACTTTGGACTGCTGATATCTAAAGAGCTGGATGCCGTCAAAAGAGGACATGAGTAGAATGCTATCTTCGTCGATTGTACCGTTGTTTATAGCAGATAAATATTCTTGGTCCATAATATAGTCATCATAAAATGGAGGTTTGCCACCATTAGCTTTGATCAGCTGAAGGACCTCTGCAGTTCGCCGAGAGTGATACTGCAGATCCTCTGCAGTGTCTGGGTTGTTGAACTGAGGCTGGAGCAGGAGACTGAGCGGCATAGTGTCAAACTGCCTCGTCACTTTTTCACCAGTAGTAGCAAGGCAAAAAGGATCATATCTAGGGAGATGACAGTAAGGACATGCATCGAGTTCTGCATGAGCACTGGTAAAGCCACAGCACAACTTTCAGCACATATCCATCTTGATAGAGTCAACACCAGTATACCCTTTGATGAAGGTTTCGACTTCATGAAATGCTGGCATATTCTCAACCTGAGGGAAGCACTCTGCATGCGAAGAGTCAACAGCTTCATATGCAGCCTGTGACGAATGCTCGAGCCCTAGATAAGTTCTAATCCCATGTTTGATGCCAGGATCATTGAGGCCAAGTGGTCAATTTGTGGGGTTCCTGAGCCAATGCAGAGATGATTCGGTTAGCCCACAGCAAGTGTCGTCAAGAGAAGCAGCCTGGAGTTGATTGATATAATCCATAGATGTCTTCATGTTGTCTGTACTGGCAAGTCAAGTGAGTTCATCAAGATCAATCTCGGGATAGATTTGGGGTGGTGGATACTCAAGATCTGGAAGGCCTGCCTTTTTCATAAGATGGATAGCTCGCTGCAGTTTGGTCTGGAGTATCCAGTAAATCAGGAATAGTTCAGTAACATGGGGAGGATTGAGAACGTACTTCCTCGTCTTGAGGACCGTTAGACTGCCGATCATTTGGCAGGGGTGTTTGGCTATCAATCCGAGGGGGGGAGGGGGTGTTTGGCTATCAATCTGAGGGGAGCTTCTTCATCCTCAACTTCCTCAACTCGAGCTCGTTTATCTGTATGCTCAGAGTCTGTTAGTTCGTCCTCAGAGCCTTCTGGAGCTGTGTCGACATGTAGACCACACATTGGAATTGTTGGTACATCGCCAGTGTAGTCCAAGTCCCATGAGAATGACTTGATAAGCTCTTTTACTTCATCTTCAAATGGTGCCAGATGCTGGTGAAATTCCGAGTTAGAGACAATGTGTCGCCAACCATTATTATGGTTAGGACATATACAAAGACGTTTAGTACATGTTTGCTTCAGCATTTGCTGTGTATATGCATTCAACTATGCATGTCATAAGGACAGGGGGTATTTGTTACCTTTATGAAGGGAGTTCTGGACGGTTTGACTTGGTGATTTGACACAAGGGAGTCAGGAGGACATGGAAAAGTGACTTATTCTATCAAAACATAGAGATCTACCATGCAAAGTCATGTTCTATTCGAATCAATGTACATTCTATGTTATTCCATACAATTACATGCAGACGTGTCTTGCCTATAGATGTGTCTAATTACGTGTCTATGATATTCTTGATCACTCTTGGAAATCCACAATTGGTCTATTTTCTACATGATCCCATGCAGATCCCATCAAATCCTTGCTCAGTCTTGAATTTCGCCCGGGGGGTTCTTACTGGGCCTCATGCCTCAAGACCGCGCCATCCACCCTGACGCCAATGTTCCCCCTCCTCCACCACCTTGGTCGTCCGTCACCAGCCACCCTGTGCCCACCTCTGCCACCAAGGTGCAGCACTTCGTTGACCAGTTGCACCACCAGCTGGGCTTGCAAGTCCAGCTGTTCCCGATGTTCCTGAGCAACATCTGGTCGGGGGCCTCAGAGCCAAACTGGTGAGTCATTCCACCTTCCCAGCCTCTGCTGACACACATCTCTGGTGCCGCTGTTGTTCTCTAGGACTCTACGTTTGCAATGCTTGCGTACATCTACGTGCATATGCCAATGTGTGGCGGCGACTGGGACATCAAGCTCCTGCCCTCTATCAAGTGGCTCCGCACAGAGGAAGGCCTGGCGGCGATGTTTGAGACGTGGGGGCGCAACGAGGAGAGGATGACACCGCTCCTCAACTACCAGACCGCGTCTGGTCTTGACATGGACAATCATGGCGGCGACGAGTGGTGGGAGGAAGTCTTCCAGCTATACCAGTGAGTACTTGCCCATCCTCATTGTCCCTCCTCCATCCAACTATCCTAAAAATGAACGTGAATCAAGTGTCAGCTCCGGCCAGTCTCAGGGATCACAACAAATAGACCACATCCATGTTCCACTGGTCAAAGGGGTGAGTCTTGACGTCCTCTGCCATTGCCATGTCAGATTTTTCCACCACAGATCAACCTCAAATGCAAGCGACCACGCAGAAACAGCAATGAGCAGGCCGGAAAGGCGCAAAAGGTATGTCATCGTCAACTTCTCTCCGGTATGCTCACCTTATGGGCAGTTTGTAGGCGGCAGAGGGGTCAACGTTGGCGGACGGAAGGTCCAAAAGGACCAGGAAACTGACAGAGCGGGCGGGAGGTGGTGAGGGCAGTGGTGAGGGCGGTGGTGAGGGCAGCAGGAAGGCGAGTGATGAGCATGGTGTGAAGGGCAGGAAGGGGAGCAAGGGTGGGAAGAGCAGGAAGAGCAGGAAGAGCAGGAAGAACAGGAAGAGCAGGAAGAGTGCCAAGGGCAAGGAGAAGGCAGACGACACAGCAAGAGTATGCGGACCACCGCCTCCGCCCATGCCCAGTGATGAAGACCCCCTGAAGACCATCTTCGTCGGTGGCAACCGGTGCACCCCATGCAGGAGCCACGATCTGGCATGGTGCATCCAGATCAACAACCAGGCCTGTACCTGGTGCAAGGCAAAGAAGACCAAGTGCAGTCTCCCCAAGTCCCACAATGCGATGCGACCCCAGTCCAATGCCACCGCCGCTTGCTACTGTCTTGGGTCCACACCATCCAAAAAGATGACGCCAGTGAAACCTTCTGGCACCAGTACCTCAGCCAGTGCGGTGGCTGGCCCCTCAGGAAGCATGATGTACCGTCCGCTCCGTGAACCTCCCAAGGAGCGCAAGTACATCAAAGTCGGTAAGCTGGATTTGTTCACTGCTCCTCTTCCCCATCTTACCTTTGTTAGATTCTGATGACGAGGAGTGGGTTCCAAAAGATGCTCCGGTACCAGACACCGGAGACAAGGACGCAGATGGAGAGACAGACCGGGAGGAGGAAGATGAAGAGCAGCCGGAGGAGGCCAACACCGTCAACCAAGTGCAGCTCAATGCAGCTGAAGCAGCAGAGGTCGATGCCCAGCTGGAGGCATTGGCCAGGCTGACTGACGCCCTTGCTTGCTGCTAGGTAATTTCCCCCTCAATCTTCCAGAGCCGTAGTTAGATGATCTATGTTACAATCTTACATGTCAAATAAAGCACTAGTAGTCTACTAATCAATTGTGAAGTGTTTCATATAACTAACAATGTGTGATAAAGTTTAATCTGTGTCCTATTGCATATGTTTTTAAGTGAGCTAGCACTCTTCCAGCCAGCATGACCACAAGTCCTTCAATACAAGTCCCTTGCATACAGCCGGTTCTGGTCAAGCAAGCTGTTGTTATTGTTTATCAGGGCAGTAATGACACTGTAATGTCTTGCTATTCACCACTACAGTACTCATGTTACATACATCTGTTTCTGACACCTTCCAGAGTCAACACTAGCTGTGCCTACTGTGAGAGACAGAGATTTTGGCTGGCCTCAGGCCAGTATGTGAGATGAGTAGCTGTGTGCAGGAGGGCTCTTTGTGGGAACCCGGCATCCTAGTAATACATATTCCATACTGAAGATCATGTCAGGTCTAAGTGCTTTCAGAGGCACCTCAGCACCTCATATGCATGCAATAGCCATGTTAATTGTAAAGCCTTGGTCATTTACATTACTATCCCATATACTAATAAGCCATGACCATTAGATACATGTATTCAATACCAGCTGGTTGCTCTAACATATCTGGCTCCAGACATGATGGGTATCATCCTGACCCAGTATATGCTGGCTCTTAACATGCACCAACCACACCAACATATGCATGCAGCCTATTTGAGCTTTCATTAGGTTGACTCACTGCTGAGCTAAGGCTAAATGGGCTATCCAGAAGAATTCACCTCAGGTCCCATCACCCATCTGACACTGGCTACATAGGCCTGGTCAGAGCCTCCTTCCCTACTGCTATGACTGTCTTAACATGGGCTGGGCATCCCACTCTGGAGTCCCTCCCCTGTCACCCGTGGGCTACTCTGAGATCCACCAAATGCCCAATCCAGAACCTTCTCCTGGAGTCATAGGGCTGCCCTGACATACACTGCATGCACCACCCAGAGTGCTTCTCCTGTGGTACCATGGCTGTCCTGAGATGTGTTTTTCTTATAGTTTAAAGCCTTACAATTGCATACTTCTTATAGTTTGAAGTGCCCCATAGTGTACTTCTCATCATTTAAAGTGTTGTCATTGTGCATGTCATATCTTTTGAAGTGTTGCCATTGAGTGCTTCTTATAATATAAAGTGATGGCAGTGCACACTTCTTACACTTTGAAGTTGTGCAATTACATACTCCATAATTTGTTTCAAAGTCTACTTAGTACTTGCCTTGGGAAATAAAGTGATCAAAGCTGTCATGGACTTAGACACAAAGGTCCTCTAGCAAATGCTGTAGTTATTTTTACAAGATTAGGGCCTACCACTCCTGTTTGTTCCCCTTGAGCCTACATAGGCAGCACAGCACACTTTTCTTCCATCTCTCATGGCTGCATGTATAAATATCGCTGTTATGTTTGCTCATCATACATTACTGGATGGTATGATCACAAACACAAGTCAAAGGAGTCCATTTGGTCTTTCAAGCATGCTTTCTTCACCCTTATGGCCACACCATCTGGAATCTTGAGGTGCAATTGTTAAAAACACCTTCTGCTAGCCCTAACTTGGACAAAAAACACATTATTTATTACATTTGTTTTTGACATGGCCAGGCTTTGGCCTCATCTATTATGAAAGCAGGCGCGTGACCAAGCATGTGATGGGTCTGGACCATGACATCATATGATGCAAGGATCATGTAATATGGTGTGCTTGTATTACTAAGTACTTTGTATTCCTAATTAGGCAGGAGTTCTACCTTTAGTTACGTGGTCTGTGCGCAGCTGCCCAGTATTATGTGAGACTGCTATTGATGACCCAGAACTACAAGAGGGTTCTTTTGGGATTTCCCCTTAGCTCTGTTTGTAATCCTAAGTCTCAATCCTTCAAGTCGAGGCATCTACTTCTGCCCAAGCCCCATCTAGGGTTAGGGTTAGTCTTTCTCATCATCATCACTCCTTGTTTGCATGTGCAGTGACTCCCCTAGTTAAGAGTTGCTCACAGCGATAATTCAGGGGCTTCCACCCATGTTACGACAGCACCATCAGCCAAAACTGAAATCCAGCTTGACATAGAGCATGTGCATGTTGAGGTAGACCCTCAGCCTTGTTACACCGTCAGAAGGTGAGCTTATTTCTAACTCTTGCATTTCTCTAATAACATTATTGGGGAATAGAGCACAGCCCTAATCATCATATCCAGTACATCAGTAGCAAGTGTGTCAGTCAACATCCAGAATCGTGAGTTAACATCGCTTTTGTGCTGGTTGCAAGTAGTACCTGAACTGCTGTTCCCTCTGCAGTTGCCAACAATCAAATAGAATTGTAGCTGTATGAAACAGGTTAAAACATCATTTTGGAGCCATCCCTATTTGTCCTTGCTCAAGGCAACTTCCCATTACTCTGGAGTGTGCTTAGTGAAATCAATGGCTGCAAGGTATGTTCACAACATCCTGGTCCTACTTGCACTTGCCTACCTTCACACTCCAGCTCATGTATATTACCTCGATCACAACAATTGCGGTTGCATCAGCTATAGTAGCAATTTTGCAATCAATAAACCTTGTTGTTGGCTTGCGTGTCCTCCATGGAGCCAGGTGCATCTACTCAACAAACACTGTTTCTCCGCCCTTGTTATCCCTAACCTACATGTGTATTTCTACTTTCCAGTTCATCAACATCTACTAGCCAAACAAGTGTGGTGCCATGATGGGTATGCCAACCACCACCAGGTTGAGGAGACCATGCCCCAGGAGGTAACACCCACCGGCCAAGGTATCCAGTAGGTGTCAGGAGGACCCTAGGGTAGTAGGCATACCATTCAGGCTAGGGTATCTACTCCATGTCAGGGCAGCCCAAGGGTGGTAGGTGACAGGCTCCAAAGATGGATAGGGTATCAGGATGACTTTAAATAAAGAAAAGTAAGTCACAGCAATGCTTTAAAAAGAAAGAAGAGTTCTGTAGCACAACTTGAAAGAATAAGAAGTCAGCCATGACAAAACATCAGAATAAAGTGACACCAAGATTACTCGTATCATTAAACAAATGACCGTTCTTTTGTTTGTGAATATTTGTATTGAATTTGGTTTGGTGCGCAATGCAAAGCTACTGATATGAATATGGAAAAACGTAGCGTGTTAAAGGCGGTAATCCAACTTCTCCGGTTGTGGTATACCTATTTAAGGTAATTTGTCGGAATGGAGTGGTAGAATGAAGGCGGATTTTGATAATAAGGAAAAAAGGAACAATGTTGAGGGCAGTGTTTTTTGTCGATGGTCATCATCAGCATAATAATAAGTTGCTAATTAGGTGAATTGGTTGAGTTGAAGGCAGTGTTTGGCGATTCCTCTGGTACGAGTGGTTTTGAATGAAATCCGCTGTTATGCCTTAAAAGGGATAATATGCTTATTCGAATAGGGGCGTTGACTGTGATTATTCATTCAACTCGTTCATATAAATTGGCATCGATTGAAGTCAAGTTTTGGTATCGCCCTCCGTCACCGCTTCACAGTCGTATATTTCACTGTCTCTCGCAACATATCGTCAGCACGCCTCTTTCTTCATAATCATCATCATCATACCACATACCATATCACATATCATCATATATTGGCTAGTGGTGGTATCACTCATGTTTGCTATTATTGTCAGTGTGTTTTGCTTGGTAAACAGGCGCTGAGTTCAGCAGCCATCTGCCCCTGGTTCTACGGTCACGATGTTTCACTGCTTTTACAATACTGCCTTCAATTGCGACAATCAAAATCGACCTGCAACTGAGCTTCGCGTGTATAGTCCATTCAGGGATCAGCCTGTGGTTAACGGCGGACTTGCACTGGTGTTTGCGAAGCCCTTTTTTGTTCCAGGTTCTACTATACAGCTCGATTCGCAGCCGCAGCAATTCTTTTGGATTCCCGGGGACCCTAGTCTTTCGTCTTATTTCGAGCAGGCACCAGATTTGCAACATCCGTTCTTGCTCGCGGTTGGACAAGTGACGGAGTCTTCCGATGTTACAGATGGTCTGACAGTTTTCAATTTAACTGTCACCGAGTTTGTACGCAATTCTCGCTGTACTTCTGTTGTACAGTGTGTCATGATACTTTTGTTTCCGTTGTCTTTGCTGATTGTTGATTCTTATTGTTCACGTTTTATTTTATAGAATTTTTTACGATAGGGGTACCAGTCGTTGGGCGAACGTGCAATTGCCTCAAAGCAATAGCAATGTGGCGGTGTTAGCTATCGCAGCTGGAGTATTGGCCAGCGGTGTTATCCGTTTTCAGCTTGTTCAGCTCGCCAATGTTGCATCACCTCCTCAGGCTGGAGGCATTGGTGGTTCAGGCGTCAACAATGATACTGGGTCAAGTGCCGGTCCGAAGATTGCTAGGTTTTCCCCTTATCCGGTTACTTCTCCTCGCAAAGCTACAATGTGCGTTTTTTATTTTGTTTGTTCACGTGTTCACTACCCGATGCTTACTTTGCGTTTACCTTGAGTATATATGGGTATCGTGTCTGTGCGGGCTGTTCAAAGCAGTGGCATGTCTATTTTAAATGGTCCGGTTGTTGAAGATTCTGTGGAGTATGTATTTTATTCTTTTTGTTACCGTTCTGCGGAATTGCTGATGCGATATGCTATAAATTGCTTGGTAGGGTCGAATCTGTCGAGCCTTCGGGCGAGGGATCACTTCAATCCGGAAAACATGTTGCTGATGAGTACGTTGTGTCAAACTCACGAATATGTTTGGTGTTTTATGTCTTGATTTACTGATTGATATGTCATTTTAGTGCACCCGATGATGTAGATGAATGTGCCAGCAACGACGGTGCTCAGACATCCCAAGAGTCCTCTTCTGCTTCATCAAACACACTCAGGTCCGTAGATGCAACCCGTGTTGCTTCTGCTGAGGCGCCTGCGCTCGCATCTGTTTTCGCATCTCTTGATGAAGCTCAGATCATGGCTCTTCTCAATGCACGTACACTGATGCAGGGCGCGTCCATTGGTGTACCGGAGAGTTCTCGTGACGGGTCCTCTGCTGTTCCGCCCTTTGAAGAGGATCAGGGTGGCAGGACTAGGAAAACACGGAAGTCGAAGAGCACGTCCAAGAAGTAGTCTAAGTCGCTATTTGTTGTGTGAACATTATTTCCAAATTCTCTGTGTGTGTTGTTGTACGTCATTACATTGAATGTCTAGCTGAATCGATCGAGTTTGATGTGTTTTGTTTGTTCGTTGTACTTTCATATACAGAATGTGGTCTCCATATCTTACCATAGTAAACATATGTCGATTTGAATTAACGTGCTCCTTTTGTTCGATGTACCCTATAATAACAATATGCAAACAGTGTTACCTGTACAAAACGATTTGTACACGTGTATGTATCAATGCATTGCATGTGGTCAACGGCTGTTTACTGTTTTTGTCCTTGATCGGACATGTGCTAAGTAAATGTTCGATTGATCGTAATGCTGAGTCGATGTTAATATACTGGTAAGTGTTTTTCTTATTCATTCCTTATATTGTTCTTAGATTGGAACCTGATTGAGTGATATTGGCACATACTGTGTTATACCAGTGAAAGACAAATGAGGAATGTAGTTTCTACTATTCTAAACTAGATGTACATGCCTGTTCAAAGTGTAGATTATTCAATATGTATTATGATATTGTACAGCATGATATAGCAACTTACTCTGCAGCTGATAGCGATTCTTCAATGGCCTGATGGACTTCGTTCATATCAGGGCGTTCGGCGGCATGTGGCTTTGTGACGCAATGCGTTCCGAGCATGAAATAGCTCGGACTGTTCCGGCGATCCACGCCACTGCAGTGGAGTACGGTATCTCTAAAAATGGATCCGAATGACGTTTTGGCGAGTACAACGCTGACTGTATAGTCAGATTCGCATCCGGTCATGATGATGCGATCGATGCATTGCGACGGTAATATCTGTGTCAAGGCATAATTACTTTTGACATAGCAAGTTGCGAGTGCGTAGCTCAGTGCAGCCATGTGGAGGTCGACATTGCAATAATTAGACGAGTTGACGTGAAAGTAAATGCAGTAAGGTGTTCGTTCATCACTGAAATGATCGCCTTGAGGAGTTGTGCTCCATACAAGCGTGACATTCAATGGGAACAGAGATCGCGGCACGTTGAATGGGATGTACTACCGGTAGTCAGCATTCTTAGTCAGTTGAAGCACCGTGCAATCGCTACAGACATACCGTGTGAAGTGCGAGTAGTACAGATGCCGCGAAATCGAACCAATGCTTTTCGTAGCTAGGGTTCATGAGAGTATTCATTTCCCATACGAGGACACTGGAACGTGTGTTCTGGTCATCCATGAACCGGAGAATGCCCGTTGCTTCGACAGGGATCACACGTATTTCTGCATAAGAAGATTTGTCCATAATCGATTATTGTTAGATATGTTAATGCATACCTTCCTCCTGTGGGAAATCATGTAGTTGCAATTCGCTGACACTCTCAAGCAGGGGCATGCCATTGTCTGAGTTGGACGAGCGGCTTGAAATTGTAAAGTTCATATTGGAATGTGTTGCATCGTACTGTGGGATATTGGAAGACGGTAGTAAATGGGTATTCCATATCATAGGCATAACAGGTGAAATGATGTGAGTGTGGACTTTGCGCCGCGTGCTGATTACAATGGTACGGAAGAATGTTTGTGTATATTGGTGTTGGAATTGGCATCCGCTGATATATGTGTACGTTGAGCTCGGGGCATTGACTGCTATACTGGTGTATGGTACAGAATACGATCAAAATGGTGACAACCGGGAGGGAAGTCAAAATTCAGTGTTGTAGATTTACTCAATTGTGCTTACGTTGTTTCCTTTTTGCGTCAGTGCTGTTCGTATGTACATATATAGGCAATGTTATACTTTATGTCAATCATGAAACAATGTTTAATCTATTTGCGGGCAGTTCATTGATTTGTGAATAGTGCCGAGGACATGAACGGTCCATCGCATTTACATGATCATACCATTTCTAAACAATAGGCTTCGGCCAGTTACACTTACTTATGAGTTCGAGTCCGGTGGCTTTATAGTGAACCGACATTAGCGGAACACTGTAATTTGGAATGTATACATACCGTGTTACGTTGTTCACACATACTTCATGTAGGTATCTTTACCTTCATTGGTAAGTGGGTTGAATGGGAAGGTACACAGTCTGTTTACCATAACAAGTGGTAATTGATGGTGTGGTTAGTGCACGGATGTGTTGGTGCTAAGTCGGTGTGATGCTGTCATTGAGCGTTGCGTGATAGGGAATGCGCACTCAAGATATTGTGTTCTGTTGTGTTGTCTCTGGGATATGGTGATAGTAGTAGTTTTCATTATGTTGCTTATTGCAGTAAAATGCGATGTATTGTTTTGCGATCTAGTTGACAAACGGGGATGACATGTGACGTATGGTCAATGTTGTACATGTTGGCTGTTTGGTTGTGTTCCGTGCATTGATTATCTGTGTATGTACATGCGACCGTCATCAGTCATACCGCCTTCGTTCCTCCCCTGTGTTCGCTGAATCCCTATATTGATGCATCCATTGAAATATTTGCGTATTTATTCGCAGTCTACCGCATGCCAACATTGTGATACTGCATGTTTGAGTATTGTTTTTGATAGTAAGCCTTTTTCATGTTCTGTGTTTTGTCCTCTTCTGATGTAAATTGCAGTATCTTATCACAAGATCCTCAGAGTACATCGCGTGGTTACTGCATCTGCTGTTTTTGTAGCTTTTTATCCTCACAGTTTGGTCCACGAGGTCTGTGCAGCTTAGAGTCGACTATCTTCAATGTTTATGCATATACTTACCCTTATCCCGACCCCTACAGCTTTCTATCGTCCTTCACATCAACATCTTTATTGGTGATTTCTTTGAGTCCCTTGCGTATTGTTCTAGGCTCTTTCAGTAAGTCGATTTGTGTGTTTTGTGTATATTGTTGGCTCTTACATGTGTCAGACTCGCTATGTCTCTTTCGCATCCAGATTGGGCAACCGGCCGCATTTCCAGTACTACTCTCATTTGGGGTAACATACGGAATGGTCGCCGTCATGCGTGTCCTACGTGTGGAGTAGTACTCCTTACTGGGGAATGGTGAGGTTTCTGCTGTGGCCCTAACGGCTCTCGCTACGCCGATGTTCCTTTGTTGCCACCCCTTCCCAATGAATATGATGTGTTCCTCAACAATCCTGACATATCATCCAAGTCACGTATTTTTAATCTCATCTTCTCGTTCGCTGCTCTAGAAACTACGCATGCTTTTCCTGTTCATGATGGACCTCGTGGTTTTGTGGCCGTTCGTGGAAGGGTATATCATCGGATCAGGCCAAATCACACTAACTCTTCTGTGCACTGGCTGCTTTACGATAGCTTTATGGACAACATTCTGTATCCTGAATGGGCTTCTCTCATTCCTTCTACTTGGATAGATGCCGTCAGGTCTTCACTTGACAGGGTTAACCCTTTCGTATCCGGCCTTCGCCAGCTTGCTCATTTGAGCGCAAATGGGATGCCAAATGCCACACTTACGCTCAATGATGCTGGTAGCGCTCCCAAGATCGCGGCAATTATGTCGTATGATAACACGTCTGCGAGTGAAGTCAGAGCACATCGCTTGACTATTACCCGCAGTCATGACGCGTCCAACCAATCTATTCGGACCGTCAGCCGTTTATGGGAGCCACTCGCATACCCGCTTCTGTTTCCGCACAGTTCCTTGGGATGGGGGATAGTTGATTCTGGAATTTCCCGAGGGGAGCTAGGTTCTGATGTGGCCGATACTAATAATGTCACTTCTCAGATGTGGTTTTATCGTGCCAGGTTGTTGCGTGAACTGAGATTCAGCATTTTTGGTCGGCTTACGAACGAATATGCTGTAGATGTTTTCAGCCGGGATCTTGAATGCCGATTGCATTATATCAGCCGTAATCAACATTCCGTTCGTTCCAACGATGCCGCTCTCATGGGAGAGGATGATTTGGAGTTGACCGAGAACGTGTACCTTCCAGCTTCGTTTTTGGGTTCTAGGGTGTGGGCTCAGGATCAAATTGCTGATTCTCTGGCAATTGCTGCGGCTTATGGAAATCCTACTTTCTTCATCACAATGACTTGCAATGCACGATGGCCAGAGATACAATCCCAGCTTCGGCCCGGCCAAATATTCACAGATATTCCAATTGTTGTTATGCGAGTCTTCAAGCGTAAACTGGCAATGCTCATCAAAACACTTTATTCGCTCTTTCCGAGGATCGGTCGGCCTGTTTATGTCATACATGCAGTAGAGTTCCAGAAGAGGGGTCTTCCTCATGCTCACATTCTAGTGAAATACCGTCGTGACTGTGCTTCTCCTTCCGCCATCGATTCTGTTGTATCTGCAGAGGTTCCCGCTCAACCCAATAACGCTTTGCTCGTCAACGCTTATATGCGCCACAATCATCCTTCCAATAGCAGACCTCCTTCTAAATACTGTCAGCGCGAGCTCGCTGACGGAAGTCATGTGTGTCGGTTCAAATACCCACAACCCTTGCAGGATACTACTACAATTGATAATGATGGAAGAGTGCATTATCGTCGGCACCGTCCAGGTGATGAGATGGTCATGGCTCATTGTTTGCCTTTACTTCGCAAGTTTCAGTGCCACATCAATTTCGAAGTCGCTAGTGCGTCTCATTTGTTTCAATACTTATTCAAATATATTCACAAAGGTTCGTTGTTTGTCCTTCTCATGTTCATCCGTTCGCTGACTCTGTGTCTGGAACAGGACCTGATACTGCTCGCTACCGACTTAATGATCCTACTGCTCCCGTTGATGAGATCGCAGATTTTTGGAACGGTTGCTATCTTTCTGCGGGGGAAGCTGTGTGGCGGATTCTCAGTTTTCATGTATTGAAGAAGACTCCTGCTGTTACTTCTCTTCCGGTTCACTTGCGTGTCCATCAGCGTTGGCGGTATCATCGCACTAGTTCTGTTGCTTCACTATCCCTTCTCGAGCGGTACTTTATCCGGCCGTTGGGAGACTTCACCATGCATGGTGCGCGTTGAAGCTTCGATGATCTCTCTTATGCAGATTACTACACTATGTTTTGTTTGGCGAGTGTTGGTATAAGCACAGGGAATTCTGTTACGTTCCGCAAATCTGATTCGATTCAGGGATGTCTGTCAATGACTGTTGTTCAACATGAAGCTCTTCGGCTCCACCTTTCTCGATGGGAAGCTGTTTCTCCATCAAGGGGGGAGTTATTCTATTTGCGGTGCATCCTCAATGTTCGTGCAGTTCGTTCTTTTGACGATGCTCTTTTGGTCGACGGCGAATGCTACGAGATGTTTCAAGCGGCTGCCTCGGCTATGAGTTTGTTTGCTGACAAGAGAGAGGCTGAACTTGCACTTCGTGAATCTGTCACAGCGCGGAAGACACCGAAACAACTTAGATTGTTATCCGTTCATATGCTCGTCAATGATTGTGTGTTGGTGCCAAATGATCTCTGGGAAAAGTTTTCGGATGCTCTATCCTATGACTTCTATTTACGGCTTGGGAATAACAATCTTATGGCGGTTCGGTGGGCTCTTGACGACATTTCGAAGGTTCTAGAAGGACATGGAAAATTGCTCGCCGAATACGGGCTCCCCTCCCCCGAGTTCGTGAGTGGCGAAGTTGAACACGAGCTTTCAAGATGGAGCTCTGATGTCAACCTTCTTAGATCTTGTGCACACACCGCTTATGAACGAATGACATACGAGCAAAGGCAGATCTTTAACGACGTCGTGAATGCCGTTCTACAATGTCGATCTCTGTGTGCTTTCGTTGACGGTAAAGCTGGGCATGGTAAAACATTCGTAGTCAATGCGGTCGTGGATTATCTTCGTTCTGATGGTCGGATTGTGTTGCCTACTGCGACTGCTGCTTTTGCTGCGCAACTGTACCCAGGAGGACGTACAACTCATTCAACGTTTAAAGTTAGTAGGTTGTCATACATTCGTGTTACTATATTAATGTTAATTCACTTAGGTTCCTGTTAACAAAAGGTCCGAACTTCTCGAATCATCCATCAAATCAGGGAGCCAGCGTGCTGCATTGATCAGAGCAGCTGCGGTTATATTCTGGGACGAAGCGCCCATGGTAAACAAGGCCGTACTTGCATGTGTGGATGACATTTGTCGTCGTGTTATGGGCATAAACAAACCTTTTGGAGGCAAGCCAATTATTTTCCTAGGCGATTTTTGGCAGACGTGTCCCGTCATTCGGAGAGGATCTCGAGCTCAAGTCGTGGATGCTTCCATTTGATCTTCTCATCTATGAGCATTGTTCCAAGTCTACTCATTGACTGTTCCTATTGGGAACGCAGAGGACCCGTCCTTTGCTTCTTTTGTTGATTCGATAGGTGACGGGGCCGGGCCTATTATCGACCTTGGGGACCTTGATCGCGTTCAGTGCCAGGATGATCTAGTGCGCTTTGTATACCCTCGCCATATCATTGCAGATCCTGCTTCATGTCTCAAGCGGGCTATATTGGCTCCTACAAACCGACAAGTCGATAGTTACAATGACTCAATCTTGGATGATGTCGTTGGTGAAGAGTGCATGTACATTTCTGCTGATTCCCTCAAGGAAGCAGATGATAGCGGTGTAATACCACCTGTCAGTATTCTGGATTACATGGCAAAGCACTGTCCTCCGGGATTTCCTCCTCATTTTTTGCGTCTCAAGACTAACGGCGTGTTTCGGCTAATGCGTAATTTCTTGGTTGATAGGGGTTTAGTCAAGAACGTTCGCGTAGTTGTTGTGGATTTAGGTGCGAGGGTAGTCACCGTACGGATTCTCCACGGACTGGCTGGTGTCAATGCGGTCAATTCTGAAGATATACTCATACCCCACATCATATTCGAGACTATGCTTCACTCTGGTTATAGTGTTCTTCGAAGACAGTTCCCTCTGGCACCTGCTTATGCGACTACATTCAACAGTTGTCAAGGTTTGACTTTAGATGCCGTGGGAGTTGACCTTACTCGTGAGGTATTCTCGCATGGTCAGTTGTATACTGCTTTATCTCGTATTAGAAACAGAAAGTGTGCTGTTGTTCTACTGCCTCCTGAGAAAACGGAAACACTTAATGTGACATATCACAAACTTCTCGGTAGTACTATACCAGTAGGAATGTAGCTAAATGATTTCCAATTATGTACTGTCTTTTTCTCCTTATTCTGTTTTTTTTCTGTATGTGATACTGTGTAATGTCTTGAAATGTCTATTTTACTAGTTGATATCGCTCGATCAGAGCCGATAAAGCCCATCAAAGGAGCATCACATGGGTGTACATCGAGTGAGTGCGTAAACCATGCGTCGTGATTGGGTATGCTGCAGCAGCATAGGGTAAGGGCAGCGAGTTCTCACAGTGTGGTGGGTGTGCCTGTATAGTAGTATCGTGTTGGTCTGCTCTGCTCGCATTCAGCGCTAGTCTCAAGATGGTATGATACGTTTGTATCTAATCGGATTGTCCCCTGTTACTATGCTAATTCCTTGTTTTCTTTGCCTCCCTTTCCCAGGAGGGCGGGTACTCTTGGTTGCAACCTGAAAGATGGCTCCATTTTGCGCTTTTGGCGCTCTACTCTACTGGTGCTGACTAAGTATCTGCTGTGTCCCTATTTGGATGTATCCCTATGTCATTTGGTCTTCGGCCGTTTCTCTGAGTCCCACTGACCAATTATTCCTATCGCACAAGTCAGTTCATACGAAGGTTCAGCGAGCCAAAGATGTGAGAAGGGTCTTACCAGCCAAGGGATATCTGACTTAATTGTAAGGAGTTAGTTTCAGATCGGTCATTTTCCAAGTCAACTTTCTGAGTACCCGTGTACTTGGGAATTTTTCTAACGCCGCAGACTGTGTGCATGTCGCATTACGAAGGCTTCTATTGATACGAGTATGCAATTGATTGTGGCATATGTTAGTTTTGATAATCCGTTGACGTTCACGAACCCTTTGGTTCCACACTATGTCTGTGGTAATTAATAGCGTGCGAGATATATGAACTAAACAGTAACATTCTAAACTTCTATTACCACCTATTACCACATATTCCCATGTTATATTTTATTGCTTGCCTTAGTGTGACTGAAGAAGCAACTTATTCCCTATGTACTTCCGAGGGCCGCGAAAAGTCAACGCACGTGACCAGCTATTGATTTGCAAGCACTACCATTGTTCTCTCGTACACTCTTCGTACTCGTTCACTCAATCTCTGCTTTTCATATTTGATCCTTTTTTGAACACAATTGGACTACTTCCTCGGCTTGTCGCAGGCGTCCTTTGGACTCGGAGAAACCCCCCGCGGGCAAGCGCGCGAAGTGTATGGACACAGAGCTGGATGCTCCTGCCACTCCTGTTGGCCCTTTTGGGGGTATTCTCAATCTCCGCCTCACCATTCCAGCCCGCTGCAGCGTCCACTTCGTCTTGCTCAGTAGGGTCCCGAAGGTCCCGGCCCGTCCTGCCCATGCTCTTGAGGGGACGTCTCACCTGCGCGCTCATGGCCCGGCTCGCTCTCACTCTGACGCAGATGGGTTGTCGGGGGGTCTTCACCTTCAGGTGCCTGACCTATTGCAGTGGTCGGACGAGTTGCCCGCCCACTTGCGCCAACAGCTGGCCATGCGCCTCTCCGCACCATCCCTGATGGGCCTTGCGGCGTCGACGTCCGCGGCTCTGCAGTGCTCCACCTGTATTGAGTCCATTCTTTTTCCGGGGAGGTGTCGATGTTCAGACTGGTGATTCTGTTTCTCCATGTTCACTTCCGTCCTGCTGATACTTCCCTTTCCCTGTCAGATGCTGTTCGTCCTTCGCAGCGTCTCGGCGTCACGCCCGTTCCGCCTGCGCTGCAGCCCATTACTCCGCCGCTGCCTGTCCACCCGATGGCCTTTTGTGGTGACGGCGTCCTCTTGCCTCAAATTTTCCAGGCCGGGGATTCAGCGCATTCTCATGCCTGACGGTGACCAGTAGGTTCTCCTTTTCACGATGATCTGTGTATGATTAGATTATTATGTATTAGTTCTGGTCCATTGCATTCCCATCATTCGATGGAATGAACCGGCTGGTGAGTGTGGTCGCATTCTCCCGATGTAAGCAGATTTGACTCAATCGCTTTCCCCTTTGTTTTTCGAGATGGGTATAACGGATAAGCATATGGCTTAAAATGGACAACACGAACATGATTCGAGTCGCTTTGATATGACGTTGTCTCTGCTCATACTACTGCATATTTTCGTCGCTCGGTGTATGGAATGCAGACTCAATTTGATGTCTATACACTGCGTATAGCAACGATTGGATATGGTGAGCTCTTGATTCCTATTCTCGTCTCTTTGTGCTTCTGCATTTGCTGACTCTGAATGGCTGAAGGTATTGTGATTCCGATGTGTTGGCAGTGCGTGGTGTCATGGTTTGGTCTATTGTGTTATCTCTGGGGCATCGCAACTCGATTTCATTTGACTTGATTTGCTTCATTTCTTATTACAGCCGTAAATCTATATAACACTGTTCCCTACATCGGCATCGTGTGTTGTTGTCTTTTGTCCATGACTTTCTCATACCTGTTTGGGGTGTTTGTACTGCGTAAACCAATGAATGCTGATGTTATTCCTGTGTCTTACAGAGCTGAATTCGTCTATGCCGGCGGGTAGTTGGTTGTCGGGCAGCGCAACAGTCCAACTAGACTGTGGAGAATCTGTCCAGCACTCGTTTGCGAACATGATTGTTTTCATGCTGGCCAAAACCTCCTTCTTCAAACACGGTGTGGTTCTGGAGACATGGCGCCAGCTGATTCTTCCTGTTATCAGTTTGTCGTTTACCAGGTGGAGTCCTTTATCCACGTTTCAAATGCATCCACCTTCTCTGTACACTGTTGGTCGTATCATCGCTTTATCACCGGGTACGTCGACGCGGGTCCCTGAAGAGTGGTTTAACCTGGATGTTATGGGCCTTGGTGTACATGGATCGGTGAGTTCTATTGTCCAGTATGTGGTATTTCACTCAGTTTGCTGTGTCTATTAATCTTTTGCTAGGATCGTCTATGACAGGGCCTCACATACCAATGTTCCGTCGAGTTCTCTGTCTGTGTCTACTGTTGTTGCGGTCTTCGGGTCTTTGATTGGACTATCGCTGTGCGGGCTTCAGAAGTTCGAAGCACATTCAATTGCAATATGGCCCTCTTAGTACGTTTTGTATTTCGCATGAGGTGTTCGTTCTCATTTGTGAATGTGTGGTGCACTCAGTTCGATCTTGACTGGTTCTGATTATTCTATTAACATATAAGTGCTCAAGCATATATCAGGATTCTGCGTGTTGACGTTTTACTAGTACAATCAGTGGTACAGCAGAAACTCATGTTCCCGGTTACAATTGTCGTTTGCAATTGCCGTAAGTATCTTCATTGTTTTTGTGTTGTTATCTGTATGGACGAAATTCACTCATTCTTCACAGTAGTCCAGTTTACTTAGGTCCTCCTCCGTCATATCCGTCCGTTCTTCCCCCTGAGGCTTGGCACCCACAAACACCTTATCTATTCTTTCCCCGTGGCGAGCTAGAGGAAAATGCCAGAGCACGGACTTGTATGGAAGGGAAAGAAATGACAGGACAGATAACAGGACAGAGACTTATTAGAGAATACGGTATCAAATTGAAACGCGTCAAGAAATGAATCACTGGTGTACTTATGTGTTTGTGCTGGAATTGTAACGTTAGCATAGAATAGAATACAATTAGCTGTGATGTGATGTGTATATGCTTGGTTGGTCAGTGCTATTGGCTGCGTATTATTTGCCTTCGTGTTGTTTCCAATCTAGAATGTACACTGGTTTTGCCGATCAACGCTAGAACAGTTGTATGTTGTCTTATGTTGTCTTATATGCTGTGTTATTATGGATGTTTATGTATTTGCAGTACATGACATTGGTACCGAACATTCAGTCTCTATTTTGGTGTTTTTGGTAGTTCCCAGTTTAATCAAACACCGTGGATTCGATCATTCCTTTGTAGTATTTTGAATAGCTTGGATTCATATTGTTTTCCTTTACATGGCGATAATGTACCAATCCATTCTGTTTCATTGGATTTGTGGCGCTTGCTAATGTAAGATCACCGTCACCATCGCTATTCTTTTCCATTTAAGTAAACAATCTGCTAAAGCTAATGTGCGGACTTAGTTCGTATTTGGTAGGATAGTGTAGACCAAAACAGGTAGCATGTATTGGGTCGGATGCAGCATTTCCATATTACATATATGGTCGATTCTACTAGTATAGCATAGTACACAACGTGTTGTTCATTTCTCAATGCTATATTACCAAATACATTCTGGTGCTGTATATATGTTGCTTCCTTTACCACTCTTATTTACCACTCTTCCGCTGATATCATGCCAGATCGTGTTCGGGATTTGTCCCTGGGGCCTTATCAGCCAGATCATCCTTATGCTGTTTACAACATTTACGGCCGCAATAGTACCTCAAGCGTTGAAGAGAGAACAGTTTCACCCAACGTTTATACCGGCAATACTGCAATTAGTGAATCAAGTAGCAACGTGATTAACTCTACTCGTTCTTTAGCAGATACTCTTGACAGTATGTACGTTCTCGTTACTTGGTGGGGTCTCAATAACTGAATCCTTGCATATCATTATATTAGAAATCCGGATTACGCGTCTTAGATACGCTGCATTGATGAAACGTTTGCGAGGACCAGTCCTTGCTCAATGTATGGGCGTCACATTCGACCTCATGGCAGAAGGACTAGTGCAGTGGAACTCGTATCTCAATTTGATGAGCTTCATGACTGGTGAGGTACGTGAATTTACGGTGCCGTCGTGTCATATGCAATGGTATCTTCGGTACTTATCTGTCGGTTTGTTATTAGGAACTGCCAGTTCCTCTACCTTTGAACAAGGATGCTATTGGCATGTTTCTCGTTTGGCATGACACATCTTCTGACTCGCCATTGTTTGAAGAGAGCCTGATATCACTTCATTTTTATCTGACGTCCGCGGTTGGAGACCCGTTAACAGTGCGCTTGGCCGGATTGGGTTATTTTATTGGTTTGCGCCATTTATATACTCATTACATTGTCTGCGACATCGTTCCGAGTTCGTGCATCGCCCTGTGTAACGTTGCACACCAGTCGGTTTACCATTGGGATGATATATTGTAGAGAATCATTCCGATCTCAAATGGTCGCTGTGGTAAATGGGTGTCTGGCTCATCCATCCAATACTACTTTAATTCACTCTGGTGAATATATCACATTGAATAGCGGGTTCCTTGCGGTTCACTCGGATGAAATTACGGAAGTTTTGTCCTTTACCTTGGCAACACTCAGGTGGGTGATCTGTTCATGTCTTATAGGCAAGATGTATTGACTAAATTTGGCTCAGTACTTGATATATATCTGCATTTCCCATAGCGCGTTCAATCGAACAACTTCCACTGTATCATTTTTAAATTTGTCTGATGTCATTCAGTTGATTAGTAACTTGACTCACTGGTATTCGAATGTATAAATCAAACCAACCTTATAAATGATAGAGTGTCAAATGCTCGGTTACTTCTTAGCCTATAATAGATGATTTGCCGTATTTCACATATCGGTTTGTGTTGCAATAATGACCACTGTGGGAACATTGCAGGTTCTTACTGAGTATGGATTCTATGCAATACAATAATATGGAATGTATGACCAAGATTGCATACTGCTTTTTTTGGGAAAGATCGATCACGCAACGCCAGCATTGGTATTGATTTCTAACAATGTGCTACTTTATACTACTTTAGGCATGTTTCGTGTTATATTAAAATGTTAGTCCATAGTTCATGGTAAGTCATCTAGTATATAATCCCGTGTGTTGTCAACTATAACTCTGAACGAGATTTGCATTCTTCGCAGGTGAGCCGTGTTTTTCTTTGACACGGGCACTCAAATTACTGATTCTTCTGAGTTTCTTGCTCAAGCTCACTTTTCCATGGCGTTGAATACTGTTTCATCCGAAAGTACACGGGATTTGCCGGAATCGGGAATACAGTCTAACACTTCAGTCGGGCGTCCAGCAGTTCGTGGTACAGCTTTCCGTTTTAATCCTGGCCTTTATCACTTGCTGATCCTGTTGTAGATCGTTCATACATTCGCCGCTATCGCTTTTTGAAGCCTGCAGTAATAAGGCACATCAACAGTCTCGCTTTTAACAAGCGCTTGCTTCAAACATTTAATCTCATTGCAGATGGATTAAGTGATTGGATTACATATGTTATGCTATTGTCTTTGATGACACAAGAGGTATGTCTGCCCCGCCGTCCTGTGTCAATATCAACATCGGTGTCTTATTCCAGCAACAGCAGATACCTACTTCATTTCCTTGCTATGCAGAGGACGTGCAAGTGATGTTTGTCTGGCAGCGTGCCCCTCGTAAATGGACACAACACCGTCCTATCTTATTCAGTTCCAGTTAACCGGTGATGGAGTGTATCATATTGCAACTCGCATTGCGGGTTTGGGCTATTACCTGACTTCTCAGTTTCTGTTGTCTCTTTGGGACACCATGCACGTTCTACCCACTTCATGTGTTTGAGGCATATCCATCACACAGCATACAGGTTTGTGAACCATTGGTACAGTGTACTGCACGAGTGCCATCCAACCTTTGTGGGAGTGCATTACTGTTGCTGCAACAGAGTTCCCGTCTTCTACGCAATTCGTGCGGGATGGTAGATATGTGGTGATTAATAGCCCCTATATTGCTATGACCAATGCCACCGTGTCTTTGGATATATTACGCATCTTCACGGCTACGCGGTGAGTTTATTATGGTTTACTTTGTCGCTCTTTACTAGTCATTAATCCTGGCATTCGTTACTATGTTTGTTAGTTCATCTTTCCCTCCTGCATGGTCCGATGAATCGTTGTTTGGGATACCCACTGTCGGTCTCGGTTATGGGAATAGTGAGTTTACTATGTCATATTTGCTCGTTCAATTACTAATGTTTACATGTCTGTCTAGTCAACATGTTAAACAAAATAGATTGATCGCATATCAGTCAAATCGATCTGTTTCGTCGATTGCGGTTTTCGTTGGATATGTTTGTGGAGAGGTTCATAGATTGGTATGCTTGGTCTCTTTTTGTGTGTCTCTTGACGCGCGAGGTATGTCGTTGTGCAATTTTTCGTGTTTAACGCCGATGCTTAAAGCGCTGTAGTCTATTCCACAAGTGGTGCATGCTTTCCCGGACGGTGTTTGCTTAATGTTTGTTTGGAGAACTTACACTTCGGTTGCCACTTGTCATTTTCCATACGCTATCCAATTTTGGGTCAGCTGTGGCAATGGTAAACTATCTTCCCAGCTTGCCGCGCTTAGTTATCACCTCGCTTTTAATCATTTGCTATTATGTTGGGTCTTATTGTCCGCTTTGCCCAGCCAGGTGATCTGCAGGGTGGATCTTGCTTTCCATGGCACGGCTTTCACGTCGGGTACATTATGGTGCTCGCGCTATCTCAAGGATGCATATGATGACATAGTCATTGCGTGCTCTGACAGCACAAAGGCCCTTGCTTCAGTCCGTGATAGCAAATGTGTTACGATCAATTCCACTATGCAGTCACAACATGATTCATTCTTGCTATCGGCATTCACACAGATCTCGGATATCGTGAGGTGTGCATCCTCCGTGAAGTGTTGATAATGCTTGATGTTACTAAATATGACTGTTTGGATGTAGTGATGATATGTGGGAGTGACGGAAACGGCGCATCTATGGTGGGCGGAAGGCTTCATATACATTTCTCTTTAGTTCCTTCTTTAGATCACATTGCGGCGTTGAATTTCAACCAGTTAGTAAGGTTTACGTTCGCGTTCAGCCAAAGCATTGAATGTACATTGGATCCGCCTTTTCGTAACGGAGTTCGCGTGGTTTTATGTTGTGATGAGGTCCACCCATTAGTTACGTTAGATTCTCCGTAATTTGCGGGTATTGCGGCTCTGAGCGCTCGTCGCGATGCGGAATGTTATGCACGCGGCGATTCGGTGTTCCAAGGTGTCTAATGGTGCTCGTCCTATCTGATTCAATGCCGAAGTTGTACTAAATAAGAAAGTACAACCTGTCAGGATTGCGTAAGCTCAGTTTCCACCGAGTGCGATCTTCTCCTGAATCAGTGATATGCGGATTTTGCAGTCTGTAAACATTTTGACATTCTGCTCCGTTGTGACTATTTTTATCCGAAGCTTTCTTATGGTAGGCTTATCCTATTGAAGCACTCTGTTGTGTACTTTGTAAGTCTCGTGCATATTGATGATGCTTGGAATCACGCGTGCACTTGAAATTCTATTGAGTGTTTTTTTACATAGACATTTGACATGCCTGTTGTGGGGTGTGTGCCTCTTTTGTTGTTGGTTGTATGTCAGGGTCGATCGGGTGTACGTGTTCAAAAGGCAGCGTTGCGAGTATAAACAACGGATTAATTCGCTCTGAGTTGTTACCTGCTGACTCGTCGTAATCCTAGTTTTCCAGCTGCAAACATGGATACTCACAACTTTTCTATGATTTCTGTTCACAGTGTTCTAACTGATTGTAAGTGATCATACATCCGCGGCTTTACCGTGTACTTTTATTTTGTGACTGATGATGAATGCATTGTATACAGTGATGGGTGGTGACATGAGTCGAAGGCGCATGAGACTTGCGAATTGCCGTCCTTTGCATATGAACCTGGCTTTTTGGGCGGCTCAATCGACTGGTTTTACGGTGGATCCGTTGGCGGAATGGCCTATGTACGTTAGACTCTTTAACTTCGCCGTGACTGGGGTATGTTCATTATATTTCTCTCGCCGCATGTGTTCATCGTTTACAGGATTTATCTCCGTGCGGGGACGACCTCTGGGAGCCCGAAAAACTGCGAATCATATTAGATTGGTCCGTCGTGTCTGGCACGTCTAGGTTTCGGGAGCATGGTCCTTTTTCTATCAATTTTTGTGTGTCTGGTGGAGGCTATGGCCCGCGTGTTGGTTTACATCTCGCAGGGCTATTGTGGCATTTTTGTGTGGAGTATGTGCCCCATCGCGGTGGTGCATCGCTTGGTCTCAATGAAACCGCTCATCCTTCGGATTACATCTATGGCGTGTTCGTTACCCGAAGTTCTGCTTACTTTACCACAGGTACTATTGTATGTAAAGAGGAGTTTCGATCCCGCTTTGTGGAGGTTACATCACTTTGTTCAACGAACAGTTCCACTACTGTGTTTACTTACTGGACCCGTCACGTTACTGCGAACCGAGCCTTTAGCAATACACATTTCCCATCTGTTGGTGGTCATTTGGGTCGCACGTTGCGTTCAGCCAGGTATGTGGACGTACTCTGGTGCATTTGACTGGTACTCAAACGAAGGTCAATAGATGGTTCAATCTGATTTGATATGTGCCACATACTCTAAATTCGTACCATCAATACATGTTTCATAGCCTTCTATGAGCAATCCGTTATGATATTACTATGCCATCTCGTTCTCATGTCCACGGTGGCATGGGTATAGCTTACAAATATGCTATTTCCTAAGCTGTATGTCCCGCCAAAAGGTTCCTGGTGTTCAGCGCGGGTGGGACAAAGATTCTTTGTTTATCGACCGACTGGAGATGTTCGAAACAAATACCGGTACCCGTGACCCTGATCAGTGCTTTCACTGGGCTCCGCGCGCTCACCATCACCTCGCATTCACCCTGTCTCACTCATCCTCGCCTACCTTCCGGTTTTCCTCGTCCATTTGCAAAAACATGTGTGGTCTAGGGCTACTTCAATGTGAGTTGGCTGTGTTTCACACCAGGTGCTCATGTCACTAACGTCAATTGCTCTACTTCCGGGGCTGGGGTGGACTCATTTCGCAACGGCAATGAGTATGGTGGATGATTGCCTTCTTGGAGATTTCTGACATAAGATCGGAAAGGTACAGTATGACCCCTTACAAGGTACCGGTTGAATTTGTTATAGTATGATTGATCGTGTTTCCTATCTGAGCGTGTACATTGTTCATTATGTAAGTGATGTCATAGAAATGAGCGGAGGTAGATAATCGCGCACGAGTGCCAGGCATGTTACGTGTGTAAACATGTTGCTTTGGTTGAGTTCCATATTGATCAGGTTACGAGTTGCCTTGACATCGTTTCTGCGGTCTTTCCTATATTTGTATAAGATTGCATCCAATCCGTATAGCCCTCATTGTTTCGCAATCATCCCTTATGATCGGGATCTGCCGTTATATATATTGGCTGGCATACGGGCGGTTTCTAGTCTTCGCAAACACTTTTCAGTCCACATCTTGCTTTGTGAAAGACCTCCTGATAGACGATCTGAACCCGTACTACTTCGGCGAGTTCACTCGTAAGTTTTTCGCTTTTTTCTTAGTCAATGAGTTTAGCTCAATTGTAGTAGCGTCTTCTAACAATGATGAGTGGACTCCAGTCGAAGATCTCGCCCTCGGTCTGCCTCTGCCACTTCCTCAGCAGCTGGCAATCACTATGAATGTTTTGGGTGCCGATCCATCCTCTTGGTCTCCATATTGTGCTCTCATGCATTCTATTATGAATGAGGTACTGGTATCATGTTGATGTACGGCCTGTGTATACTGATCCATCTCTATGCAGCCAGTACCTGTCATGCCCACCCATCCTGATCATTTCCGGATCGTTCTTGTATGGGAACGTGTGCCTTTTGAGTGGGGCATTCCACAGCCTTATCCGTTTTGTGTTCACTTCCACGTCTCAGGTGGTCCATGGGGCTCTCAGATAGGTTCTCGTGTCGCTGCTTTGACCCATCACTTTGCTCTCGAGCATATCCGACCTATCTTGACTGACACCTACACTCACCAATCGCCATCTGATTATGTTCATGGAATATTCTTTTCGCGCGTCACAAGCTGTTGGTTAACAGGTGCTATTGTGTGCACTGAGCGTTTTAGAAGTAGGTTCAACAGCGTTATCCGTCTTTGTGCGATGAACTCCACTCCAAACACGTTTGTTCGTTGTGCTTCTTACGTTACGGTTAATGGTACCACCTTACTGCAAGAATCCTGTCGCATCAATTCCAGTGTATGCTCGATATTACGAGCTTATAACAGGTTAATCAATGTTCTTATGTCGTGAGCAATTGCTGATCCGCGACACAGGTTGATCTTATGATACGCGATGTTCCTATCGGATGTATACGATACAACATTACGTGTTCGTTCATGCCGTGTCACATTGCAGTATTACTAGTATAACTTGAATGAAGAGTTTGACTGATACATGTTTCCTCTCTTGGAATGGATTGGACTACTATATTCACGTTCCAGTTGCAATTCTTTCTATGGTGGACAGTCCAATATAAAATACAATATCGAGAGTATAGTGTCGACCATTTCCCTTAAAACTGTAAGATCACATTGATATGTGTATGTTATCCTGCGCTGTACGTGTAAAATGGGTTGGGTGCCATAGGTTGGAGCTCGCCAGAGTCAAAGGCATCAAATGTCCAGCAGAGTGCTGCATAGCGTACTTTTGTGCGCGTTGTTCTCGCCGCACACCAATCTCAGGTGGAAATAGGTGGTGATCGACCGTGACATGGACGGGAGGCGCTGTGCTCTCCTAGACTTTCCGTCAGCAAAAGCTCCGCGCAGGCGAGACACAGTCAGTATTTACAACCATCCAGGACCTATTTTGCCCACTTGGCGCCCTCCAACACCTCGCCTGTGTGGTGCCTGCAGCTCGAGAACCATTCTTCTCCTTGCACCACAGGCGTGTGAATATCTGCCTGCACACCAAGGACTTGGTTGGTTGGTTGGTGTATCATTCACACCAAGGACTTGCCAAGGACATCACGGTCAAACACTTCAACTACGTCTTCCGCGCTAGAAGTTGGGTCAAAGCATTCGGGGACTTCTTCCGCATTGATGGGCATCGTATTACTTGGTGCAAAATAACACCGTTAGCCCCGAGATTGTCCAACTAGCGGTAACATATAAGTCTCTCGCCCACCAAACATACATATGAGCGTTTGAACAGTTTGCTTCTAGCCATCTCAGCAACCTGCTCGCGATAACGAGTGTTCACTTCGACACCATGCAGGCTCAGGCTGATCGCATTGCCGTGAGCGTGTTGATTCAGTTAGGTAAGCGGCTGTGCGCGTTGCCAGTCTTCCCCAGTCTTGCCCAGGCTCCACCCAACCCTTTGTTGTTCTATGAACTGAGCGATTACATCATTGGTTACGCCCGAGAATCAGTAATACAAAGCTGGACGCTGTGTTCATAAATCAGCCATCATGACTCGAATGTATTGAAACCGCGCCATCCAAGTCTAAGCTCTCTCACCCCTGCCCCACTCCCGTCAATGTGAACCCCGCGCATTCTGATGCAATAGGCTCGGTGTTGCGACGAGTTGACTACAGCCTATGCTGAGCATTTCTTCTACTGCAATTCGCCTTATGTCTTTTGAAAACGACGTCTCTGTTTTCCTTCCTTCGACTCCCCGTTCAACCCACAGTCTGTAGATGGCAAGCGATGTACGGATCATCTTCCCCTCAAAGGCGGTGTGACACATATCGGACTCCAGATGTGTTTGTAAGGTCATGTAGTGGAGTCGCATTGTTCCGGTATATGCGTGCTTACTGTTCCCCTTTGCCCGCTTCCATTGTCGGATTGAAGAACCCTGACGTTTCTATGATCCGGTAATGGTCTGATTTGCTGATTTGGGTTGCAATTTCTATCTATACAGATTTTACTGCATTGGGTACTCTAAATAACGCATCCGCTGCTATGCGAGTTATCTTTTAGCGCTGTTCACGGTGTTTTCTCTTGCTATTGAGTTCCGGGCGCGATCCGCCCCTCGAGTACGTACCTGGCTGATCAGCGATGTGTTCTTATATGGTTATGGCACTATAGATGATCCTGCACATGATTCAACCGTGTGGGTTCTTTTGGCGCATTGTTTATGTGTTGTATTGTGGACTGGATTCTGTATTGTTGCTGTGTCTATTCTCTCCTCGCAACCTTATATGTCATGTCTCATTCATGTTGATTTTAGGTCATGTTATCATTTTTCAAACTGCGGTGGCATCATGTCATAGACTCATCGCCGTCGTTATTATCGTGTATCGTGTACGCAATTCTTCTCGAGTGGTTATTCTTTGCGGCTGCTTTGCATGTTCTGCCCGTGTTTCTTAATCTGTTTGCGCGGATCGGGAATACCTTATAGTACCTTAAAGTCACCGTTCACGCTCATACGGTGTTGCAGTCAGCGCTCTGTTTACTTCGTGTTTGATATCATTCGATATCATCGCAATTGTTGCAGGCGACCATGAAACGTGAGTACCTACATATCCAGCCAGTTGAACATGCTTGCCTCTTTGTTTCTATTCCTAACTATTAACATTTGACAGGACCTGTTCCCATGAGGAGCAATCACCTTTCTATTGTGAATGCCTGGCCTCTTCCTATGAGCATTGCTCTTCGAACCGTGTTCAGTCTAGATGAATTGTTGAGTGGCGCAGTGGTTTGGCAAGTTTACCTTCTGTGGTTGCACAGAATATGCGGCGAGGTGTGTTCATTATTGTTTAAAACCGCTTATAAACGTATTGTTCTAATGTGTTTCAGTCCCTTTCTTCTAGTGCTCGTTCCTTACCACCCAACAATACAAATGTTATGCTTCTGTGGGAGAATGCATTGGCTACGTCTCGCTTTCGGGATATGGGTCCGTTCTCGCTTCAATTTCATGCGAGTGGTGGGGGTCTGGAGCAGCGTATGTCGACTCAACTTGCCGCTGTTTGCTATCACTTTGCCACTCATTATGTTGAGCCTCTTTCTACTCGCGAACCATATGTGCTTCCTTCTAGCTATGTATATGGTTTCTTCCTCACTCATTGTGCACCGTCTTATATTACTGGTACTATAGTGTGCACTGAGAAGTTTTGTGAACAGTTTGTGGAGATAACTATGAGATGTGCTGCTCATACTTCAGCGACGGAGTTCATGTACGGTGACGCTAGTGTTACTGTTAGTGACGGGTACATTAACCATCACAGTTTTTGCATTCTAGATGTTTACATAGCTCGTGCATTGTATGAATCGAGGTGGTTTAACCTAGTTTGATATACATACAATTAATATTTTTCTCTTGTATTCTGATAGCTTGATTTGTGTAATATCCATTACACACAATGCATTGGCCTGGCTGAACTATTGCGCTGTCGTCTGTTGTTCTCGTGGCCAGTGGATACAGCAGTACAGTGGTCACTTCATATTCAAAGAAATCTGCTGATAGTACTCCGACGTCGGCTGTCTTGAGGTTTTAAACGTATTCTATCACTAGCTTAGTATCCAATCCAGCGCCTGTTTGCAAGCCATCCACATTCCGACACTAAATAATTGGAATCCGGAAGTGACGGGACAAGTTTCCGAATTCTGAGTACTTAATTTGGGCGCGTGTAAATGGTGACAGACTAGATGAAGGTAATGAAGGTTTCCTCACCATTCGCGACACTACGCTTGTAAAATCACAGTACTTACTGAATGTACGTTGTATCCTATTAGTGGCACGAGTACCCATGCAAATGTATGGTGTGAAACAAGCTAGGTTATGGTCTAGATGTGAACCTGTGCTAGTCTACTTTGGAATTTCTGTAAGCAAGATTTGAACATGTATGTATATAGGCTGTTTTGTGTCACCTGTTCTTATACTATGCAAAGTCGTAATTGATTAGTATTCGAGTTGGCCAGTATCAGTTAACATATAAGCTGTAAGCGCTTCAGTATACTAATCCTTGTGTTCTCATGTTGGTGACAATACTGCTCATGTTATTATCGACTATACTTAAAGCTTTTATCATATGTGTGGTCTGCAGAATTCAATATATTCCGCGTGTAGTTGTACAGATGTTGTAGAATGGTAACTTCTATTGTACTATAGGTACAGTAATAATCAACCGTGAAGTATTTGGTATTGATGTATACCGTGAAGTATTTGGTATTGATGTATACATTATCGGGTGGTTCAATGAAGAGCACTCGACAACAAATTAGTCGGATGTATGATTCTCTATTTATATGGTCGAATGTTCACTATGACAGGTGCTTACGGCTACCGCTAGATGAATTGTAGAGTATTATCATATAAATCTGCAGCAATTGCTATGATCACATGATTTGTAATGTCTTCTTGAGCTTGGCGTTCAATTTGTTATAGACTGTTCTGATTCCAAATTTGTTCCTTTTTCTTATTTTTGCAAACCAACGTAAACCGGATTACATTGTCTCTGGAACAATAAAAGCCGTGTATCAGTATGTATCAATACTTCTAAGACATCATGTACATTTAAAAGCCAATGACACCGCCTGAAACAAGTAAAGGGATGCGAAGCGAAGCAGGATATGGTTAGCGGTCAAATTGATGCCTTTGTAAGTAAAGTAAAGGGGCATGGTGTTTTGTGTGCACTCTAGTTGGGTAGCTGTGAATTGGGCACTGAAGTAATTAGTGCAGAAAAGGGACCCAGTGGTGTGAGTATCGCAGTGGGTTGTAACCCAGATATAGTACACGCAGTCACTTGGTTCGCAAGACCAATGGTCCATATGGTCTACGAGAAACTCATTAACGAAGTATTGAGCAAGTCCCGCTAGTGCAGATGCCATGGTGGTACCAACTTTAGAAGATATGTAGAAATCTAATGTGTACGGAGCTTTCGAGTAGAACGCAGAATCGGGGTGAGTTTGTCTCCACATGAGATATATGTGAAAGTGCAAAGCATCCGCTGGGTACGAAGCAGCTTTCTAAGGGCAATTCAGCAACGCGGGTATAACCAACTTGAAGATATCCTTGCCTCGCTAGTTGTTTCGTGCATCACATCAATAAGTTCGGTCCAAGTCAAGCCTTCCTCGTTGATACGGTCAAATGCCGATCTTAACCTTTTTGATAGTGCTTCTCGGCCATATTCTGTACCTCGTTCAGATTGGAGTGTATCCATATATTGCCTGGATGAAACCTGCGTAAATTTGAATACGGGACACAGACCGAAGGTATACGCACAGTAGACGCGTTAATTGCGCTTAATATTGTTATGGCGGTAGGTATATGTATAGTCGTAGCTCTGGTTGCCGGTGTTCTTGCAATCGCTCGTCGTGGTGTTGCGCCTGGAGCGTAGAATCAGGTACCTAGCTACGAGGATGCGTTCGTTGTGAGAGATAGCGAGGAAGAGGGATAGAGGCCGAGAAAGAGACTGAGGTATAGACATAGCTGATAGACTGAAATCTGCTTTATATTACACTTCAAGCGCTCACAAATTACCCTAAGAGACTGTTGAGTGTTGTATTGTATGTTGGGTCTATCTATGCATATGCATGTTTATCATGCCATGGTTGACCATTGATCTGATACGGTGTTGTGCCATGTATGGCGATGATTCAGCTTTTCTATATTTCTATGTATGGAAAATCACTGTCATGGAGAGAAGGCAAGCTCTGTGTTCAAGTTTGGAATCCGGTCAGTAAAGATTAGTTCCATTCTCGGAATGAGTAAACGGTACCGCTCGGTACGCATGTCTAACTCGGTACATGTTTGAACATCTGCATCAGAATCGGAAAATTCAAAAGAGGTTACATAGTGATAATAATAGAAACACCATCCATTTGCCGCGGCAGCAACTTCTATTTCTGCTGTATAGAACCTTCGATCACTGGGATCATTCGAGTTTTTCTATACTTAGTAAAGATGCATGCATTTCGTGTACATGATGTGATTACCATATGTGCTGTGTTGCTTCGACACACACGTGGAGTTGATGCTGTGTGGCGTCTATGGCATTTCTCACTGTGTTCGTGTAGGTGTCCGGCTGACTGATTTTATCGTCTTTCGAATTCTGGTACGATAAGGTTCAGTACATTTCTCCTTGCCGGTTTGTGAGTGACTTGTGTTCAGATTGTGAATGATACCAGTAGCTGAGCCTTTTCCTGTTAAGCACATGTACATTGGTTACTAAGCACTGATCCGCCTGTGTATCTCTTATAGTAAATCTATATTTGGACTTTGTCTATCAAAAAGGAAGTATTCCCGTTCACAAAGTCACCATCAATGTTGTGATGATGGTGTAATGAGTGGTTGATGTGCTTTCGTTGCCTGTTTCCTCTCGCGTGTAGTACATGTGGCAACAAATTACTATGTATCGACTCGGAGATACCGACCAGGTTTTCTATTAGTGTGCAGCGGTTTTCCTGCCTCATATAAAGGTGTGTATGTTCAATCATTTTCAGTACGAGACTTATACACTCGTACTCGCATTAGACTCGCCTCATTCTTCATTTATCTTCGATGCCAACTCCTGTTCCTCCCGGTTCTATTCCCACTGTTCCTGGTGTTGTTGATAGTGGGCTTGGTGCACATGTTCATCATCGCCTCAGACAAGGTACGTCAGCATATCTGTAACATGTCGAAACCATTGCTAATGATTTATTGATCGGTTGATGATCATACCTTTGGCTGCATTACATTCTTATGTGGGTTATACATGGGTTGCCGTCGTTTCATATAGTTCTCCGACTTGAGCCCATTCTGCACCTGGTTTATCCTCAGCTGACAGCTGATAAGATATCTCAACGATTCATCATGACTGTGGGCTTTGCTATCGATGCCCGCCTGAGATGGGAATCCTTAGCAGCCGTCATTTGCATAGCTCTTGAGTTTGTGCGTTCTTTCTTTCTTCATTTCTTTGTTGTTTCATATGATCTCTAACATTTGATCAGAGACTGCCGATTTCCATTCCAATCGATCCCGTTGAATATCCGTTTTTTTCGTCTGGATTCGTACACCGGATGACCATCCTATCTCTATTTCTGTGCCATATGTCATGCTCTTCCACGTTTCTGGTGGTAGTGGCGGGTGTAGCGCAGCTTTGCGTGTGTCTTCATTGGCAGCCGTGTTGTCTAAAATGCTAGATGCCAGCGTGCTCAACGAGGTTGTTCAATATCCGGATGAAGCAATGGCATTTGTCGACTTGAAGTGTAACAATGCGAGACGCATGGTTGGTATGATTCATTTTCGGGAAACTTTTGCCCCCACTTTTGCGCGGATTCAGGATGATTGCCGGTCGGAATGCATAGATAATTGCTATGGGTTTGAAGGCCGTTTCATTACTGTTACACCAGGTAGAAGCGCTCGTTCAAACCATTATATGCGTATTACGTTAGATGACATACACGAACATTATCCGCGGTACTTCATCGGTTCACGTGAATAATGTATCTGCACCATTTGTTTTGACCTGCTATAGACATGATGTATATGCAATTAATGGTGTCTGCGTACCATCATAGATGAATCATATATCCCGTTCTACATTTCATGGTACATGCTATTTTTGGTGGTATACGTGTGAATTGAGTGCTCCGAGTGCCACGGCTGACTTCAACGGATCATTAGTTTTGCCTGCTGGCTTTTGAATGTTCCTCTATTGCGATAAAACCGGGTGTTGTCACGGTCTGTTTCGGCATTGCGCCTCTCTAAAATCCTCTTGCATTCGTGCCCTTTTCAATATCCAGTATATCTCAGCTGCTATTTAAACAGCATTAGTTATCGCCCGGAATACAGTGTTCACCCCACCAGTTTACGTGGTCCACCAGATTACCAACAATGAGTTCGAATATAGCAACAGCATCGCCCCCATATCGTATGTTTTTATTTGGATTTGAAGTACAGAATTACTAAGTTGTGGCAGGTCTTGGTGGTGATATGAGTTCCGAACGTCGTGATATTGGAAACGCTCGTCCTCTTGATATGTGTTTGGCAACTCAGATCGCGTTAACACCGAGTGTTGTTAATAATCACTGTAAGAATCAGGATACAAGTAAGGATACCAGTGAAGATAACAATTACAATGACAGGCTTGAAGTTGAGGATGTGGGTATGCAGAATTATGGGTCTATGTCGTGGGTCATGTACAACAAGGTTATTCACAACTATACTGGAGAGGTGAGTTTTGAGTGCGCTTATGTTGTATACTATATTAATATCCATTTCTTTCATGGTATAGCCAATTCCCTCTCCTATTGATACTTTACCGTCCCCCGAAAGCTTAAGAGTCTTACTCGTTTGGGACGAGTTGTCTGGCGAATCTCGTTTTCGGGAGAACGGTGCTTTCTCCATCAGTTTCTATGTCCACGGTGGCGGTCAAGGTCATCGCAAGGCGTTAAGGTTGTCCGTATTGATGCATCATTTTGTTCAGAAGTATCTTCATTCAGAGTGTACGACTCATCGCGATTGTCTTGACATGGATTGCAGTTCGAGGATGTCGTTACTTGATACCATGTACGGTGTCTTCGTTACAAAGCACACTAGCTCTTATCTAACAGGTACTATTGTATGTACAGAATTGTTTCGTCAGAGATTCAATATGGTGACATCTGATTGCTCAACATTAACATCTGATTATCAGAACATGTATTGGGGTCAATTTGTTACAGCTAACACTTTGCTATCTGATTGTACTCTTCTGTCTGTAGATGTATGTTTGTTCCGTACCTTATATGCTGCTAGACGTCACAACTTACTGTAGTGTTACTGCTATGTACTGTATTGGTGTTGGGCTTTAAAGAGCGGTGATCACTGTTGATGATTCATATCAAATTTGTCTTGAGCGTTGTTCTGTGGGCATTCGGCTAATCCCCCGTGTGAATCACAATGCAAGCTACGTGCGAATTCTTTTGAAAACACGTGTCGCATTCATCTGACTTTTAAATTGTCGTGCCGCATCGACATTGCTGTACATTCCAATTTGGGTCTCACGCCGCGTTGGAATGTTAGAAGCCCAATATAATAGCCCCCGAAACCCGATTAGCCGACGCAGGAGGCCTTGTGCCTATGTACTGTGTCTCGCGCGGAAGCGCTCTTTAAAACTCACCTGGTACTGTTAACCGGTTCAGCAGTGAGTGGCAAGTTTTGTGTAGGTTTTCTGACACACCGCCCGCATCGTGAATTTAAATGGGTGTAACTACATTGTCGGGTTAATGATCACCGCTTAGAGTCATGTCGACGGTTGAAATTCGGCTCAAGTACATAGTTTCTTTGAGTTTCAGTTACGGTATCACCTATTCTCAATTTGGAACAGGATTGCCTTTTTTTACTGCTGACTTATTGTTCCATTTGTACCCGTTATCAAACTACGTCTCGTTATTCTATGCCGTTGTTTGTTGTTCAATTTGCTGCATCCCTCCATCACATCGTTAGAATTTCGTTTTGCGACAACTTACTTCTCAAGGGCCTTTGAGATATGAGCGGTATGCATGCTTTTTGACTTTCTTATTATCGTAACCCGTGTTTGTTGATTCTACTTGCAGAAGAAATGGGTCACAATGAGGCGTTTACTCGTGTTTTTCATGGTCTTCTGGACGCTCTTGGTGGGGACTCTGTACCGAAAGTGCCGGCCGCGTCTGGTGGTCTCGCCTTTAGTGGTCGTGCCATTCCTGGCTGGGAACATTTCGCTCGGTTTATGCACGCTATGCATTGAGAGGTTCGTCGACGAACGTACGCATGCGTTGTAAGCTCACTAACCAAGCATAAGCCTGCTGGGTACCCGTCGGTCTTACCGCCGGTCGACTCATTCCCTGTTTTGTTAGTGTGGAAATCTGCTGTGCTTCCTGGTCGCTCCAACGTACACTTCTATGTCGGATGCAATGGTGTACGCCTGCTAAGCGTACGACTTGCGGCTGCTATTTCCTCTTCACCATGGATCATTTCCAATCCATGGAGTCCAACCGTATTTTGAGTGTTGATCTCGACTCCGTGGAGGTTCACGTTAACCATACCGAAACTGATTGCTTGATGGGTACTGTTGTATGTTCGGATGGCTTACGAAGGTGGAGAGACGGTATATTGCCTCGAGGCGAGGCAAATCCTATTGATGCTGAGGATTTGTTTCGGTATGAGGGAAATGGTATTCTACATTGAATTAGAGCTTGGTGTTTTCCCCACGAGACAAAGCTCATATGTGATTGGCTGGGAACGAGACAAAACGGACATCTGATTGGCTGATTCCGCCACATCTCGGCTATTCCGGGCTGTTGCCTCTTTTGCACTTTTTTCTCACACTTTACTGCTGCGTCTTGCACTTCAGCTTCAGTGCTTCATCTTCCTTGATGATCCGTAGCAATATGATTGTAGCAAGTGTAGGGTGAGCGGCCGGGGTGTGGTATATATATACGGGTAAGTGTGTTCAATCCGGGCGGTACATGTACAAAATTTAGCAGTCCACGGGTGTTCTGAAACATATAGGAAGTAAAAATTCAAACATACTAAGGCCTCGGTGTTTGGGTGACTTGGGGTGTGTATAGGTGAATGGAGAGATGTACGAGTGGACTGAGAGCTGTACGGACAAGCTGAGAGATGCATGAGTGAGCTGAGAATTGTGCAGGTGAAGTGAGAGATGTGGATGGGTGAATAAATCATGAAGTGCTTGCGCGCAAACTGTTTTACAGTAACTGCCAGGCACTATCCCGCTGGAAACTTACTTGATAGCCAACTACAATAGCATAATTATGTTTACAGAACTGTATCGAGAGCTTTTTTGTCCCGTGGCTGTCCACGGGTCACACAGCTAGTACTCGTTAACAGTGCGTTCCGTAAGTATGCTGTATACACCACAGAATTGTATGTCCAAGCTACGCTTAATGCTGCTCAGTTCAAGGCTCTCTGATAATTAGCTTTCTCCTGTTTCTCTTATCGAGTTCATTGTTTTTATATATGTCGTATAGAAGCTACTCCTCATAGGTCCAGTTTTGTTTGAATAGATTTGAAGTATCAAACCGTTGCTGTTGAACGAACATGTGTGTGTTATTCTCCATGAATGCTCAGTGGACTGGACGTCCTTATGGGTCTTAACCTGGCAGCAAAGTGATAGCATACATCCCTGCATTAAAAATCAAAATTAAAGACAAGACAGCTTACCGGTCCTTTGGTTTTGGCAGCATGTTACACCGTGCCATTGACCGAGTAGGAATCCTTCCGTCGGAAGCATACAGCATTGGCGTGTTTTCTGCACTGAGTAATCTCATTATTCCATTTTTGTATTGTTACAGTTTTGCTTCACCTATGCCTGTAGGCCGTGACACACGGTTTGTTACTGTCACTTGGTTGGACTCTGACTCGAGTTAGCTGTGCATGTACGCGCATGTTTTCTGAGTCCCACATCGTCCGTATCCAATTCCCTTGAAAACTTACATGATGGACAGCTTTATTCCCCCGTCTTCGTTCCCAAATGTTGGTAGTAAGTTACCCATATCTGTGGTGTTTTCTTTCCTGAAATTTTAACCAACGTGTAGGCACGGACAACGTCGTTATTCCGAGTCAAATTATGGACTTTCCTACGTCAGAAGTGTTGGTGGTATCGGTCGGTTTTCTGGGCAAAGGATATATTGGATGGGTGTCGTATGCTAAGTTCCTGTATACAGCCTTCGGTGAAGTAAGTGATATAGTATCGGTTCTGCAAGAACGCTAACGCGTATAAGCTATCGGAATTTCCTCAAATACTGCCACCTCCTGAAGCCTTTCCCTTTCTTACTGTTTGGCAACATCTCTCTGCCAACGGTCCCGTTGATGTTCACTTTTACGTCGCTGGAGTTATTGATATTGAACACTTCAGCATTTGCCTTGCCGCCGCCATATATCTCTTTGCCAGAGAATTCGTCAATGTTACCGGCGTGGATACCTCGACGATCCCAGCAGACTTAACCCTGGACCATGTCCTAGCAAACTATGTCCAACACGTCCACGTCATGTCTTGCAATGGCCAGGACTTAACGGGTACATTCGTGTGTTCTTGTTTCCTGAGACGGCATGCTGCTGAAGTTCTGTGCGCGAGTGAAGAACACCCCACAGCTTGGATGTTTCGATACTTAGATTGTGCCGTTGTTGCCAATCGCTCATTCTTCGGACAGCCTTTTATTGGTGCTGAAGGTTGTGCGGCGCATGTTATAAATGCTGCTTGGTTCGTACGAATGCTCATTTCCTTTGTCACTGTTAGCTTAGTTTTCGCACAGGCATTTGTTCGCCGACAGTGTGCCCATAGAAAATGCCTAATCACTATCTTCTATAACTGTTACATAGTCGATGCTTAGTACCACTAATTATACAGCCTCTGTTCTAAGTAGGATTGTGATTAGCACGACTTATTTTCCTGTAGAATAAGTCAATTTGTCAAAAGTATATCCGCTCTCCTACACTTCTAAAACTTCATGAAAATTACAGACTCTAGTCATTCTGTTTACATTTTGAAAATCGAACGCTTGGGAAATGACTGAATGAATTTAGGGCCGGATCTGACAAGGTGCAATGCGTTCTGAAATTGGTATATGGAGCCCTGTACTAGATTGTTCTAGGTTGCTGTGGAGAAGTTCACCCTGAGATTGGCGCCTCTGCCCTTATTTATATCCAGCGGGGATTAAAGTAGGGGTGTTTCTTCGGCTCTCGCTTCTTTGTGCGCCCTCTTTCCTTGGTTTGAATTCCCTCCTCGATATTTTACGCGTACAACGACTGAAGTCTGAGTCACTAGCAACGCTCGGAATGACTGCCATGCACCCATTACTAGCCCTTCTGAACTGGTCTCGTACGTTCACTGTACCCATCGAGATGCATGCATGACAGCTTACCACTTCTATGCCGGCTTCAGACACAGGTTACACTAAAGCAGATGATGCTGTTCATCACACCTTCCCTCCTCAACTGTTAGACGACATTCCTGTTCATGAGGCTATAGGTGCGACCGTCGCATTTGTAGGAAGAAGTCACGAACATTGGCAACCGTACTCGGATTTCATGGGCAAGCTTCTGAAAGAGGTCTGTTATGCGCTCCGAGTATATAGCTTTGTTGCTTATTATGATCCTAGCCTGCTGTACATCCTTCGCCCCTGCCTGATGTAAACTCTTTCCCTTTCCTTACTATATGGTCGGATCCATTGCTATTGGGCCACCCTACTATCCATTTCTACGTTGGCGCTAACGGTTCACAGTCGCTAGTGCTCCGTCTCGCAGCGGCTGTATTCCTGTTTACTCAGGAAAACATATATCCCCTTGTTGCTAAAGATGCACCATCTTCGCTTAGTAACACGTCTTTCAACCATCATCTAGCAAACTACATGTTGGCTATCAACGTCACCCAGCATGGCGAAACTTACATGATGGGCACGTTCACGTGCACGGACAACTTTAGGACACGAAGCGCCGAAGTCTTCGAACGCTGTAGGTCGGAGGGTAGTACAATGGCGTTCCAATACAAAGGGTGCAGTGTTGTTTCTAACACCGTGTTCGCGCATGGCATTTGTACTGGAATAGAAGCCTATGTACAAGCTACAGTACACGCTGCATGGTACGTTTACTTGGTTTAAATTGCGCTCGCATGTATCTTATTAACAATAATCAGGCTTCATTTCGTAGCCAATGGTACTCAAGGGAAGTAGTGCAGATCTGACTGAGGTTAGTTGTTTGTCGTTTGAGTATAACAATGTTACATTTTGGTTTCGTTCGCGCATATTAGTCTGCATATATAATGTTACCATCATCCAAATCGATCGAATTGCATGCGCGAAATGTCTCTCTTTCCATAATGTTTACCATGTTTGCATCGTGGGAACAAACCCGTAGCAGAGCGTAGGTGCAGGCCTTGTGTAGATTAAGAATCATGCAATGGTCAGCTTCATAAATAGGAGATGGGAGCCAATGAAGCTACAAAATAAGCTTTCAGTGCAGGATTAAGTAATGAGAATAACAGGAATACAGAGAAATAAAGTAGACAGGTATGATTAAGCATGGTACAGTAAGTGGAAAGAAGGATATTGCAGGTATACTTCCCTATAAAGCAGGCACAGATAGCCTGAAAATGTGTGAGAGTGCATCAAGAAATTGTGTGATGGTAAAACTAGTATATGAAACCATCAGTAAGGATAAAATACACAACAAGGACTGGTACTTACAATTATTTGCTCTGATGAAGCGGCTTGACAGCCAAAACCTTGGGGCAGGAGATGCACCGCACTTGCCAAGCAACTTGGGAGCAGTGACAGCCAGCAACATGTCATCAAGGGACATTAAATAATGATGATCTTGGGGAAAAGCCCACTTGACATCCTCAACAGCCTCAAGAAAGGCTTCAGTCTCAAATGGGGACTTCTGGCAGCCAGACCACCATGTGAGGGTGAGGATGACCAAGAACAGGCTGTTTGTTAATCAGGAGTCACAGGTCTAATAAAATAACAAGTCAGCTGTCATCATATGAACCAAGTCAACAGATACATACTGGTAAGGTTTGGCCACCATTAACTGCCTCAATATACATGATCACCTCGTCAACCCACTCAGGGACCTCAAGCTGAAGAATATGTTTTGGCAGTGGCCAAAACGAGGGCGCAGGTGTGAGCAATGAGATGGGAGTATGCTGATGCAAGATTATGGAATCCAAAGGCAATGTAACTAGTGTCTGTGGGTGCAATGCTGTGGGAGCCAAGGGCAATGTGATTGGCATCGGCAGGTGTGATGCTGAGGAAGCCAAGGGCAATGTGACTGGTATTGGCAGGCACAAGACTGCAGGAGATGCAGGCAAACTGGGGGTACAGGCCTGATCTTCACCCACAGTGAGGGACTGGACCTGGCATGATGCTGCAGTGGAGTCCTTGTTCACTGAAAGACATGGGGCCTTGTCAACAGGTGAGGAAACATCTTTGTCTATAGCATGAGCAGAGCCCCCATCCATGAGTGCAGTGTTGTTGTCTGTGCCTGTGCTCACACCTTGTGCCATGGCTTTGACACTGGATGCTGCTTGAGCTGCTGCATTTGTTTCATGATACGTTCAGACTGTTGAATAGGAGATGATACAATTGGGCCCGTAGGCAGGAAGTGCCAGAAGCCACGGAAGGAGAAGTAGGGTTCTGCTTCAAAGTTTCATCATCTATTGACTGGGGATAAAAACACTCATATGCAGTGAGCCAGGGATGGGTCTTTGCTTTAGCGAGTGAGATGCCGCAGCGAGGAGTGTGTTGAAGCAGCCTGCTGATAAAATTCCTTGCTGGTGGCAATCTGTTAGGGAATATCTGATGCACAGAATGCTAGAGTGCGCACCTAGCTTGCTGGGGCCCAAAGCATCAAGGGCATCCCAGTCAACTACATGATTTTTGATATGGGAAAAAAGCCACAACAAAATATCCTCAATGAGTGCATGCTTGCCCGTTAACATCATGAATAATGCAACGCCAACAGGAGTCCACAAGATGGCTGTATCCCTTTTGCCTTTTCCAGGCCAAAATCTTGGGAGTGAGGTATAATGGTGTACTGCAAAAAGTCTATGAAAAATGTGAATCAGACCAAACATTCCTTTATAGGCAACCAAACAAACCTTCAAAACTTCCTTGTCACAAATAATCCTGGCCAGCCTGAAGTCGGCCACTTTGACTACTGGCGGACTATTGCAGGTAAGTAGTATATTTTTGGGCTTGAGATCACAATGAACAATGCCTTGATCATGAGCAGACTCAGCATTGATACAGTAAGGAGTGATCTAGGTCAGTGTTAATGAGAACTATACGCACGCTCATGCTGTTGACAATTTGGTATGTGATATGATACGCTTCAGGTTTGCCTACGAGCATGTTAGCATGCGCACAAATATACAACTATGTATGTGTACCAAGAATTCCATAACAGTGAATGTACTACAGAAGATTACTGCCATCAATGAGTTTGAGGACCAGATCTAGCATGCTTAAATATACACTCGCTCAAGAAATTAGGGCACATACTGATATCGGACGGATGGTAGAACACCTGCTTCAGTTGACAGATATTGTTGTGCTGAATCTTCGAGAATGCTGATATCCTCCATAAGCTGACAATTTCCGGTAGGGATGTGTTTGAGGTTATCACTGAGGATGACCTTGATGGTGTACCAACACACATTTGCGTGTGCGAGGCCCTTATAGACAGTACCAGATGTGCCATGTCCGACTTCATGACAGAGCTAATATAACAAATGCAGGCCACCTTGGAACGGCTTGTAAAAATAGGCATGTCAGGTGATAAAGAAAGAAAGAAATAATAATGTACAATGATCTTCCAATGGTATATCCTCTAGCAAACAGGGCTGCCAAAGGTGATCTCATCCCCGTCCTTCAGAAAGTCGACTTGTCTTTTGCCAATCTTGAAGCCATTCATCTGATGTGCATGTAAGTGCCAAGTGGCAGCAGCTACTGGAACGCATACCCAGGTTCCATTTCTTCCCTTCTATCCCAGGTAATTGTGCAATGATGCTCGCCTACATATCAAACATGGGGTTAGGATGTGTCTTTATTACAAGAAGAATGATACATACTAACCAAGGAATCCAAAAGGAAGATGCTCTCCTTAGCATCCTGACCGACAGAGATGGTTGGCTGCGTCTTGAAGAGTTCAAAGTGCCTGAGTGTGGTGTTGCATGGTTCAAGGACACCCCAAAAGCAAGAGGAGTGGTCACTGTTGCTGGCCGAGGGGTGAACTGTATTGGAAGTTGTGTCTACGATTGTGTTTGTTCCCAATGACCTCGACCCAGGTTTCTTTGGTGGTAAGCATTGTTGAAGTCACCTTGGAGCAGAGGCGTGGTGGGTAAGATAGTAACTCACTGGAGACAAGTGATGAAAACAGGTTCATATACGATGCCAAAACAATCCATAGCTTAGATTCCCATAATGGGAGACTCCCAAGAGAAAGTCACCTAACACTTTGTCCAGGAATTAGCCTAGCTCCAGAGAACAATGTGAACATGCTTACCAACAATCCAGAGCTCAAGCAGTGTTTGATGCAACCGGAGTGACCTGCTCAGTACAGTAATGGGCTTGTCAAGGGCTACATCATGGTATTGGGTGATGACTTGAAACTATACAATCCTTTGCTTACCTTGCCTTTCGCTCTTCTAGCAAATTCAGTTGTATGAGGTCTTTCCTTGCAACCAGAGAGCCAAGTTTACAGTCTATTCATTTGTGACTATGGAGAACCTGGTGAGCCGAGGGAAATGGTAGAGGTCAAAGCAAAAAAGAGACAGGCCAATGCACGAAAGAAACAGTCCAAAACAAGAGACATAAGGACTAGCAATGTTGATGTTCCCTTGCTGATCAACACTCTACACAATCAACTAAGTTGCAAAGTGTTTGCATGATAGGTTTTCCACACAGCACTTTGAGGACTAAGCTCAACCATGTCAGTCTTCTTTGGAAGGAGTGTCAGACAGATGTACCCATAATCAGCATTCCCAACCCAACCACAAATGCCTTCTATCTATCTGCTGAGGGTGGTGTGCTAATCCAAACCAAGTTTAATGGAATGTAGCCAGCAAGTTTAGGTTCTTCTGTTGAGTTTCCTTGTCTCCGCAATTGCAACAATTCTGTCTTTGGCCATCTTAATTGGACCATGGTTCTTCTGGTGATCCTTGCGCAGGTGAGTGACACGGGATTTTGAACCTTGCAGGTATTGAGGATGGTTCAGGGACAAGGAAGTAACAGTTCAAAAGGTAATGAGTGAAACAGAGTAGTACAGTGCCGCACAGTGGTCAAAGATGGATGATGGTCAACAATTTCTCATGAGCTTACCACCCACTGAATGCTGAGCATGAGCGCTGAGCCTGCATGTTGCTGAATTGAACACTTATATGCACTTGAGCTGGATTTTTATGAGGCATAGAAAAATTGTTCATTGCATAAGGGAAACCATAGAGTAGCCTACTATAGAACTGAGCTGAGTACTTGAGTGTAGTAATCAAGAGACCAGATCTGACCAGATACACTGCAGGCAGTACTAATTAGGCTTCATACAAGGATTTGGCATAAGTATGTACTAAACATGTGCAGCGGTGTGAATCCCAGTCACAAAGAGAGTGGTGCAATGAGCACGGCAGGCCATTTGCTCTTGCACAGCTTGCAAGGTTTACTGAGAAGAGGTTTGTTCATTGACCTTGACTATGAATTGCATTAAGTCGGGGGAGAAATCAACATGGCAGGACTTTGAACGCTGGTGCCAGTAACTGCACTTCCGACCGTCAAATTAAGGAGCCTGTTAGTAGCCTGTTGACACAACCCTCCCAGTCATCAAATCCGAACCTGGCACCAACCCTTCCTACCGCATCCATTACCACTAACAACTATTATGCCATGGCAACACTTCCTACTGTCTATGCGTACTTTGCTGCCTCCAAGAAGAACTGCTAGGAAATCCTCAACAAAGGCCCGGAGACAGTTGAGCACCTCCGAGAGGTCATGAATATGGTTGCACCCGAATGCAATTACAGGGTTCACATTGGAGACTGGCTTTACAACAACAAGGTACATTTTCTATTTGCATCTCATAAGATGTGTCCGTGGTCCTATCTAACTTATATGCATGCAGGTGCCTGATTGCATGTATGAGAAGCAATCCAAATTTGGTCACCAAAGCCTTGCCCTTGTTGATGCTTTAAATTATATGCAGCCCCACCCTACAGCAGCTAGCCCCACCTTTTCAAGGAGCATGCTGCATGGACGCTCCATTTGGACGGACCTGCTTTTTGGCAGCATTCAACTCCGATGTAGCACACACAGCAGCTCGGGTGCGATAATCCACACTACAAGTGAGCCCCTGCTCTATCTTACCCCCACCTTGCACTTATCACATTTCTATCTCACGGAAACCAAGCAGATTCCTGTGATTGGTTTTCATCAACAATATCATGACCTCAATTGTTCACAAGATGACAGGCTCACACCTTTGATACACCCAGCCAAAGGATGCAGTGGTTCTCACAATACTCCCTGTACGTCTCTCTCCTTAACTGGCTGTCATTTTCTAATAAATGCCCAGGTTGAATGTTCACTCAGTGTGACATGCAGATGTGCTTGTACAAGAGGCTCGAGACAGCGACTCATCAGTACCCAAGCTGTTGATGGGGTCGCGGATCACCGCTGGCCAGTGCTCCTCAGCACCTGGGGGTTGCCTTTGGTGCTGACGTGGATCAAGAAGAGGAGAGGCCTGAGGAACCTGTCACGTAGTAGGTTTCACGCGTCTAGTATATTTGTCTTTACAATCTATTGCAAAACCCTCTATGGGTTCATGCTAGTCTACTCCTCTAATCAACTAGTTAAAGGATATAGCAGGCTGTTTTCTGCTAAACAGAAAGTTACTAAGTAATATATTGGGTAACAGAAGATAAAACAACTCAACTCACCTACAAGCTCTTATTGCATCACTCAACACTTTCCATTGCTCTGAAGAGAAACACTTCTTCAAGATCTCCCACCTCTGCTCTGTTGCAAAACACTCAGATTGAAATTCAACTTGCTCTTCAAGTAAAGCATCTGACGGTTGTTGGAACCATCTGTGACCCTCTTTAAGAGCAAAACTGTCAGAGTGCGCCCAGCACCTCTGCATCGCTCCTATGCCCTTGGGACAGCAGCCCAGTGGCCTTGGTACGCTTTCCAGCATTCCAGGACACTTGGGTAAAAAGAGGTAAAACTTGCCTGTTGTGTGAGTTGAACCTAGAGCCTTGTGGTAGTGCCCAGAGCGCTGCAACCACTCAGCTATTATGTGTTGAGGTATCCTTCTACTTGTGTCTTGTTTATACCTTCACCACCTTCCTATTCCAGTATCTCGCGACTTTGCCCCTATTTCGCTTTTCTCTACTCTTTGGCTTGCTATGGAGAATGCTGAGCTACTGTACAGTTCCCAAACCTTATTTCTTTTCACCTATATAATCCTGGTGTCCACAGAGTGTCTCCTTACTTGCTCACTGCTAGACACCAGGTCAGTACCCTTGTATTTCGTCTTTATCAATACTACTTGCTC